AAAAGTAAGCAAGTTTTCAGTAACAAGTGCTGAGACACTTTTGCATTTTTATGTCTGATTTTGTAAGAAAGTAGTTTTTAAGTGAGGAGTGTTGTATGCAGGACAAATTAGACTCCTGAGAGGGGTACAGTAATCTGAAAAGGTTGAGAGCCACTGGCCTAAGGGATTTAGGAGAACAAATCCTGTAGATTTATTAATTTGTATTATTACAACACCTAAGAGCCCTAATCATGCATCAGGATCCCACTGTACTAGATATCATACAAACCCAAACAGAGTTCCTTCCCTAAAGATCAGAAAATTGCAAATATAAGATGAGATACAGACTACTGGGGGTACACAGAGAAAAAAGAGACCGTATTCGTTGGCAGGATTGTGGACTCAATACTCCAGCATCATAACAGTTGTGGGCATCATGGTAAAGGAGTTTTAAGGAGGGATCTGAAAGAGAACAATAAAGTGGTTTTACAGATGGTTACAGGGAGTACCTCCCAAACATGAAACACAGCGGGAGAGAGAGCACAAATGCTTGCTTGAAAATTTAATAAGTAGGTGATGGAGAATTGCATCATGAGCCAATCAGAAACATAAGTCAACCTCTCTATATTGAAGGACTGATGATAGGTAGGATGGGGATAGGTCAAAAATGTTTGATATGGTAGAGAAGAGGGAGCCAGTGGACAGATGCCGACAGGGGTGTGATATGGTCAAAGCAATCGCTCAGAAGAATGATCTTTGCAGAAGGATTCTGAATGTGTATGAGCAGGGGAAGATTATATTTATCAAGACCAGAGGGAAAGATGTTGCAGTAATCAAGACACAAGCTGATGAGAGCCTGAACAAGAGCTTTAGCTGTGTCGATGGATAGGAAATCTTCTTCTCTTACAGATGCAATACAAAAAGAATCTGCACATAGGCGCCGACTTCCATTGGCGCCGGTGGGTGCTCGACCGCTCCCCCCCAGCCCCACCCTGACCCCACCCTGCCTGGACCCCTCCTGCTCCCATTCCAACCCCTTCCCCAAATCCCTGCCCTGGCCCCACCTCTTCCCCTGAGTGTGCTATGTTCCCGCTCCTCCCCCCTCCCTTCTGGAGCTTGCTACAGCTGTTTGGTGGTGGCAAGTGCTGGGAGGCAGGCTGAGGAGCGGGGACGCGGCATGCTCAGGGGAGGAGGTGGAGGAGGAGATGAGGTGTGGTGGGGCAGGGAGCTTGACTGCTGGTGGGTGCAGAGCACCCGCTAATTTTTCCCTGTGGGTGCTCCAGCACCCGAGCACCCACGGAGTCGGCACCTATTGTTGGATCATATTAAAGAAGTTCTGTATTAAAATCACAGATGAGGTTAATTCCCCATAGTTTAAATTCCAGGGTATTACTAATTAAGAGGTCTCTTGGTTTTTGGTACTGTTTCTCTCCCTCTATGTGTGAAACTTGCAAACTGCTAATTGTGTTAGTACATTCTAAGACAGAGTCTGTTCTCAAAGCAATTCTTTGTAACAACAACTACTCACACAGAGAGAGACTCAAAGCAATACTCTGTAACAATAGAAACAGCACCCAGAGACTCCCCGCCCTTTTGTTGTATTCATCTCGCTTTGTTAACATTTGTGATTAAAATAGAGATAGAGGATGTATGTGGATGGATGCTTGGTGTGGATAATAACTGAATGATCAGGGAGGTGCCAGCCTAAGAATCCAGTGTCCATCGGCTGAAGAAGGCGTCAAGTGGAAATAACCAGAGGACCCCCGGAGGGCAGACTGGAATCCACCCAACAGCCTCAAGAATGGGAGAACCAAAGAACAAGATAACATCTAGCAGCACGGAGCCGTCAAGAATGTGCCATCTGCTGATTGATTCAGCAACAGCATGATGAAGCAATTCCCATAGACTGGCATAGGAACAAATTCCTATAAAAATGGACTCTGGAAAGTGAGAACTTTGGGGTCTGATTCTGTAAACCAACTTCCAGGAGCATCAGATGAGTATCTGACAAGGCCCTGCTCCCTCCTCATGTCCAGCCCACCTGACCAGTGGCTTGGCATGAGCAACTCTAAGGCTGGTAACTATGATAACAACCTTGCAGAACCTCTGTGTCTGTGTGTGTTTTTGTATGAATGAATGTGTGAATAAATATGAGATTGAATGAAATGTTATAGCTATAACTAACTGCTTACTATGATTCTTTCTGTATTCACAATAAATGTGGTATTTTGCCTTTTTCCCTTTAATAAGATCCTGCTGGTTTTTATTTTATTGGTATAACACTATGAATCTGCAAGAGTTAGACATAGTCTGGATATGAGAACTTGCAGACAGGTCCGTGCCAAAGAGGACACCTAGGTTATGGGCCTGAGTGACAGTCATGATGAGGTAGCGGGGAGGTTGGGGGGGGGGGGATATTTGGTGAGAGTGCTGTTTTAGCCACATTGAACTTCAACTATTAGACATGCTCTGGGAGATGTCAGAGAGGTCAAGATTTATAGTCCTAAACCCCGTACAGGCTTGGAAAAATCTTCCCCAGCAATTCCTGTTGACTTCTAATGTGACAAAAGGTGTACCCAAGGGAAGAATCTGGTTCTGTATTATTCATGTAAGATTACAATCACTGGAATCTTGCATTAAGTAACTCCCACTTTATATTTGGATTTTATTTTAAATGTATTACGGATGTGGACTATGGGGGCCAATCTTGCAAAATGGATTTTGGAATTTGAGAGTGGTCATCACCTTTCAGAAGATGCTTGTCATTTTGCAGAATCAGACCCACAATGACTTTTGCTGTATGTCCAGTAATGGCTAGCTGCTTTGCCTTCTCTCATTCACTGAAAATGTGCTAGATGAACAGGGTAGTTTCTCCGTCAGTATATCTTTCCAGATGCTGTATTACTAAGATTTTTTCAATTTGAAAAATGTGTTTGAAATCATAGAATATCAGGGTTAGAAGGGATCTCGGGAGGTCATCTAGTCCAACCCCCTGCTCAAAGAAGGACCAATCCCCAAATAAATCATCCCAGCCAGGGCTTTGTCAATCCTGACCTTAAAAACCTCTAAGAAAGGAGATTCCACCACAAATGTTACCTGCTTATGTCTTAATCTTTTTTAGGATTCAAAATGTTTCTCCTATCCTCTTGCATGAATTCCTTCTGCTCTTTTAGGGGTGCTTATGAATGGAAAAAAGTTGCTCTAATAGTGGTTTTATAAATTAATAAAATCTTTAAAATACATTCATAATTTAAAAGCTTTTTAAGAGACTTTAAAAAAAAAAGGAAAAAATATTAAATATGGTGTACAAACTCAGGAGTCTTTGTGAACTTTAGGAGAAAAGTTAAAAGATAAATATATTTAACTAATAGGATACCAGTTTTTAGTTTGTTACAAAAATAAACATTTGAATAATGGAATTAAAAATGTGAATGAATTCTAAAAATATGCTAATTTACACTCTCTCTCCCAACAGAGAAACCTTTACTTTCCTGTATTGGTGAAAGCATGCATACACCACTCTAACTGCTTTAATTACTACAAGAACAGTTGATTGTTCTGCTGCTTTGTGTGTCTGTGAGGTACACAGTGACTGTAGAAGAAGAGGAAGAAACCTTTCAACAAATATCTAAATTTTCTACTCTCACTAGCTTTTTTCTTATTGCTCACTTCACTCAGCAATATGCTGCCTGTGCAAACATAAAAAGCAATAAACAGTCAGACAGGGACTGTAAATTGAGAAGTAGGATTTTTTTATAGTACTAGGCAATGAAAATAGACTGACCTTCCCTAGCTGCAAGATTGACCTTTTTGGTGGTGTCAGTTAATGATGGATCAGTGGTGAGATGCTTGTAGCAACTGTTCTGACTATTTTGTTGTTGCAATATTAGGCTGCTAAGGCAGTGGTCAGAGAGGCTAGGTGACCATATTTCAGATTACAGTATTCTTCATAAGAAAACCAAGAAACTGAAGAGATATACAGATCATAATACTGTAGAGTAATTGCCTTCACAGAAGAAGAGTTGTGCAGTTTCCAAAGGAAAGACTATGTATTGTACATGTAATAGACATTTTAAGGTTTCTTTCCTTCCTTCCTTTTTGGCTCAATATTTATCTTTATACTTTAATCTTATTCATTGGTGGTATATACACCAGCTGACATATCACCTTTTTACGGTAGAGTATAGCAGAAGAATTGGAACCTATGGATGGTTTTGTCCACTGGAAGCATGGCACACTGTGACTATTTACCACAGCTTCTTTCCACTGTCATCTTATCTGTATGTATTGTATAATGCCCCTTTTTCTGCTGAAAGAGCTTGTGGAGAACTGGTGGTGCACAGACCATTGAATGATTAGGCCCTTGGTAAGAGACAACTCTGTGTCATGTGGTTTTGAAACAGGTTTAAAAAAAACTGTCAATTTAAATGTGTCCATTTTGCTATTACAACGGACAGATAATATTACCAGAAACGTTTCTTTAATCACATCTCCTCCATAATCTGTGGTGAGTGCATTAATTAGCATATTATGCTTATACCTAGAACGATATGTTAAATTCAGTGCCACCGTAGCAGTTAGCAGTGAAGTATTCCTTCGAAAAACTGAACAACAGTAAAACTACCTGCCCCCGATCTCTGACAGCTGTTAGGGTACAGGGGGCTTGGAGGGAATTACGCAGGGTGGAAGAAGACAGAAGCGTGGAATGGGTACAGCGGCTAGGGCAGGCAGATGACTAGAACTGTAGGGTTGGGGTAACTTCTCCTGGAGCGGTGAGTGGAAGCTGAAGGGCCCTGGCTTGACCTGTGAGCTCTCCTCCCTGCCGAACTGCTGGGCGCTGTCAGGACCGCCACAGGCCTTTGCTTTTAAATAAATACAGTAGCTGAGTGCGCAGCCTTTAAAATTCTCCCTTGCAAATGCCAGCAGCGCTCCAGCCACCCCTGCCCCGCGCAACCCCCTCTCCTCCAGCCGCTGCTCCGGGCCTCTCGCGGGAGCTCCGCCGCCCCCTCGCCCAGTCAGCGTCAGGCCGCGGCGGAACCAATACAGTTGTCGCGAGGCGGGCGGCGCTGGGCGGCGCGTGCCGCTGCCGGGGAGGTGAATATCCGCCCGGCCCGTAGCCGCCGGAGAAGCCCCTGGTGCCTCTACCTGGCCAGGCTCTTGGCGCGGAGCAGCCGCCGTGAGTAGCCCCGCGCCCGGCAGCTATTTATATAGCCCCTGGGGTGGGACGCGCTGCAGGCTGCGCCCCCGCCCCCGCGGGCCCAGGGCGCATTGTTCGGGGAGACTGACAGGCGCAGCCGCCCCTCGCCTGCGCGTCGCCCGGCCGCCGCTGTCTGCCTGCGGCTCGGCCCTGCGCGGCGGGACTGGACTCCCAGCTCCCGGGGCTGCCTCCCCGCGGGCGCTCTGCAGGCTGGGGCAATGTAAGTCTGGCTCCCGCGGGGCTGGGACTCCTTCCTGTTTTCCTGGCTGTTGACTTGTGGGGGGGTTGTTTGTTTTTGTAGGGGTCGCGCCTGTATTTCCGACACTAAGTGTCCCCCCTTGAAAGAGGGCAAGTCGCCAGGCAGCAAAAATGCCCCCCAGTAACCAGATTCGGGTTCTGCTTCTCAGCGCCATGGAAAAGCTGGAGAAGACCCTCTTCAGGCTTGAGCAAGGTCAGTGCTGACATGTAACGGGGCTGCTCTGCGCAGCGCTGGTTCATAACTGAAGCGAGAGTCTAGGCAGAGGGTAGGTAAGAGACCACTGAAATTCATTCATTAAAACGATCGTGGAGAGCTGTTGTTTTTTCCCTCACCCATCATCTCTCTCACACACTCACAGTGTGTTCAGGTTAGTTGCTGTCCTCTGCTATGGTAGTGCTCTTTTTATGTTGTTGATTGTTTGTATGGTGATAGCTTTAGTGACCACAACTATGGATCAATGTGGGTTATAAAACACTTTCAGGCCCAAAGGCAAATTGTATAAAAAAAGCAAAATCACTATTCCAGTTAAATATGAGCCTAGTTTAAGACAGTACCTGAAGGATGGTATAACTATAGCACTCCCATATCCATTGCTGCTTCAGTCCTTGTCTTTGCTATTTATAAAACTCTTTGCAATCCAACTTTTTTTGTGTAGTACTAAATCTGTTATGTACAAATCCCATATCTTAGTCGTAGGTATATGAACTATATTGATGTTGTCAGTACTTTTTTTGGGTTACAGGTAAGATTTGGAAAAACACGTTTGTGTGCTAAATGTATTTCAGCAATGCTGTAATTTGCAATTATTTCTCATGTTCGTAAATACTTGGAACTATTTTTATTTTTAAGTATACCCATCAACCTGTTAGTGAAAGGTATATTTGGACCAGTATCCTCTTGGTCAGCAATCTCAGCCCATAAACTGTTCAAGATGAAAATGTTATCTGATATCTTTATTCTTTCTTGCATACATTTTTTTTTAAGGGGCAACCGTAAAAGTTTTAACTTTCACCAGGAAGATTTAAAAAATATTGTCCAAGAATGGTTGATTTATGAATTTACGGTACTTTCAAAATACTTTCAGAACAGCCCAACCTTTTTTACCCTTCTCTAAAACTAGAAGTCTGCTTAAATACTTTGATTTCAGAATTTGCTGAATGATTAGTATGTGAATTTACCAGAAACTTTTATCATTAACGAACAAAGTGCAGAGTCAGTTCTGACCTCCTTATTAACTTTTCTTCAGGCTATGTAAGCTTTGTTTGGAGGCTGCTAAATATTTGAAAACCATACATTTCAAATTGCCTAAATTGATAGCTACTCTCTCCCTCAACTAGCTAATTTAGGCAAAGCATTCCTGGTATCAGTACTGTTACTATAGGGAATAAGATATCTAAGGCATATAACCCTGTAGCCTGATCTAATTTTAGCAGACTCAATAAGGAAATGTCAAGACTATAGTGGGGAGAAATTGCCTGAACTTTTTGAGGGCACGTCTTCACTAGCAATGTTAAAGCACTGCCGTGGCAGCTCTCCCAGCACTATAAAAAACCACCTCTATGAGGGGAATAGCTACCAGTGCTGCGAGCGTGGCTCTTAGTGCTGGTGCACTGTCTACAGCGGCACTTTACTGCACTGAAACTTGCAGCGCTCAGGGGCGTGTTTTTCCACACCCCTGAGCAAGAAAGTTGCAGCACTGTAAAATGCCAGTGTAGACAAGCCCTAAGAGTGATTTTTTTTGCGTGCAATTTTTGCAACCAAGTTAGCTAGGTTTTTAATTGATAGGTACCCAAATCCTGAAACTTTTTTTAAGCCTTTGCACTATTATGTGCTTGGAGGGTGGGGTTTTTTTTCTCTTTTATGTTTAGTGGATGATAGGGTAAGTAACGTACTATAAACTTCATTGGCATGGGCTATTTAAATGTCTTTGGATAGCTGGAATCTGATATTTGGTCGTGCTAGCACAATTCCATTCGTTGAGCAACTTTTTTATTCAATCGGGATAGCGTATTCAGCTGTTTAACTTTTTTACATGTTACAGCACAATTTTAAACTCTTTTTCTAATACATGGTTGGTTTATCTATTCTTTAGACTACATGTAGAACTTCCTTACTAGGAAGACAAGACAACCAAGAGTATTTTGCTTTTTAACTGAAGAATGGGTAAAAAAGTCATGGATTCCAAGATTCTGATCCTGCAATTGACTGTCCATGGAAGTCACTGTGGCCCTGCAGGGTGCATGGCTGTGTGTGGGTGTAGGCAGTTGCAAGGTTGAGGCCTCAATCAGTAATGGTTGTTGCCTTGCAAGCGCTTAAGTATCTGTCCAATTTTACTCACGTGAGCAGACCAGGCTTTTAAGGCCCTGATACTACAATCCGATTCATTCAGGCACATACTTGCAGTGAGACCTGTTGGCTTAAATGAAATTCCATGTGGACAAGTGTTCACCTGAGTGGATTAGATTTTAGGATTGGGGGACACGTTTCCGTTTTAGGGTATTAAGGCGTCAATCTTGCAGTTTACAATTTGTGGATGAGCGCTGCACCCAGGCAGAGTCCCATGGAAGTCAGTGCGGTCCATGCAAATATAGCTGTCCAAGCTGTAAATTGCAGGAGTGGGGCCTCAGTCTGTAACTTCATTTATATCTTCAAAAAATGTAAAGGTTTTTGGATTTGTTTAATTGAACATTCCATGAAATGTAAAAATACCTAAAGTAAAATATTTTCATTTTCAAGTTTGGTCTTCTGTTTTTCACAAATACCTATCTTCCCAATTCAATTAAATTTAAAAAAATGAGTGTCCACTTAGAACCTCGTCAGTTTAAAAAAAAAAATGATAGAAAGTAAATTCAGGTGCTACATATTCCCAAGTTCCTGTGCCAGTGTATGTGGTTTGAGAGTCATATTTTCCTGTTGTGCTTTTATTTTTGAGAATTATTTTCTTTCTCTGTTGCTATGGGTATGTCTTCACTACCCGCCGGATCGGTGGGCAGCGATCGATCCAGCGGGGATCGATTTATCGCATCTAGTTTAGACGTGATAAATCGATCCGCGAGCGCTCTCCCATCTACTCCTGTACTCAAGCGCCGCGAGAGGCGCAGGCAGAGTCAACAGGGGGTGCGGCAGCCGTCGACTCACCGCGGTGAAGACACCACGGTAAGTCAATCTAAGTACGTCGACTTCAGCTACGTTATTAACTTAGCTGAAGTTGCGTAACTTAGATCGATTTCCCCTCTCCCCCCGCCCCATGTAGACCAGGGCTATGTGAAAGATTCACATAAATATGAGAAACTGACTAGACAGCAAATGTTTCCAAGTGCACAAAGAGAAACAGACTAGAGAAAAATAGCATTCTTCCCCACTGTGTCAACTATAGTGTCATTTATAGTCTTTTCCCCCCCATGTGTTAATTATAGTGATATAGTAATTGGGTGTTACACATAACAAAAATAGGTAAAATATGGGTTTTAAGTTGACATTTAAATTAAATAAAAAATGTGTACCATCTCTATATATTATGTATTAAAAATGAGGTGACTGTTTAGATAGTAATACTCCTGTCACCTCACAATTCTTCTAAAACTGCAATAAATAACTTTTTCCAGGCATTTTTAGTTACTGTATTGTATTTGAACAGAAATAGAAATAAAGTGCTCTGAAGAGGGATACATAATTAGTTTCCCATTTCCTATTTTAGGGTTCTGGTTGGTTTTGAATGGTAACACTAGCAGAGAAGTAGAAATAATTATTATAGCATCATTATGTGTTGATGAGAAATGCCAGTAAAATAAAAACATTCTCTTAACTTTACACCCAATATACCTATTTAGAATTACAGTACAGTACATCTATTAACTTAAAATCTTCATATTGTAAATCACAATAATAAACCAAAGATTTAGTCTTTAATTTTAATAAATGAGATTATTTTTTTAAACCCATTCTCTTTTCTGTTGAGGTTTTGAACTGCAATTCCGACTGGGCCCAACATTACAAGGCAAGCATGTTACAGTGTACACTAATTACCCAGCTTCTGGAGAATTATTCAATCGCCGCAAGTTCAGGGCACTATCATGGCACAACCCAACAGGAAGAGAAGATGATTCTGACAAATATTGTAAACTGGATCTCCAAATTTCTGGATCATACCAGTATTATTTCAGTCATGAGTAAGTGGAACTTCTTACATATGAAAAACTGCAGTCTTCCCCTCACTACTCCATGTATCTCAGTCTTGACCTAGAAGGATAACTATGAGGTGTAAGATGATAATTCAGTTTCCATTTCAGTGCAGTCATTGGCTTCTGCAGAGGACTGCCCACAAAGGCTGCAAGATGTGGTTTTTGATGCTGCAGTGTTTTGGGGAGTACTCAGAACAAATTTAATCTTCTATTTGTTTATGAATTTTGGAAAGGCAATCCATGCCTGCAAGGTGTCAAAGTCATCAGCATTCTAATGGTAATTAATTAATAGACTTGGAAGGTTGTGAGAGATCAGACATTAAAATAAGTAGTCTTTCTTGCATATCTTCATGTTTTGTTCCACTCAGTTCTGACATATAGCTGCTACCAGAGCTAGAAACCATTATGTTCAAAACCTATGTAATAACCCATTCATCTCTAACTCTTCAGTGATTTTTTTTTTGCGGTCTTGAGACAGTGTAAGAATAAAAGTAAGATGGTAATAAGAATTCAGTTTTTTTATAAAGTCTAATGCAATCAATCAATCTGTAGTGTATTGTACCTCACCTATTACCATTGTTTAAGAGCTGATAGTTTTGGGACCATTGTGGCTGATCGGGACCATAAAAATCTTCCGGGTTCTCAGCCTGGACCAGTGATCAGAGGAAAAATGTTGATCCCAGTTTATAATTTTCACCATCAGCAATACTTCCTCTAGTAGTTATCTCATCGTGGTTATGAGGATACTCGTGTTCATTCTATTAAAAAATTGCTTAGTAGAGGAATTTCTTGTAGATTATAGTCAGAGTACCTAAAAAACAATGGTGGCTGTTCTGATACATGATTTTTAAAGTTTTATAATAAAACTTGCATTCTTACTTTTTTCCCATTTAATCATTAGCCTTGGTGTTACACAAGAATAAGACTCGGGCACAGTTCTTCAAGGTGCTGAATTAAATCAATGTGGGGGTTAAGAATACTCAGCAACTCATAGGTTCAGTCACTGTTTTTTGACCCCAATTCTTCACTTCAGTCCGTGCAGGCTGATTCGCATATCTGCACAAAGCCCCATTGAAATCCATGGGACTTCAAACAGTCCTAAAGGTCTACTTGCATGGATCCAACTGCAGGACTGAGGTCTTTTGTATGTTCTTTCTCCAGAAAAAGGCCTTGTTGTAAATTTCACAGGTAGAACATGAAGTAAATTTGAGTCTAAATGCATCCATAAATTGGGGAAATGGTGGGAACAACTCTGAGTTTGAAAGATCGATAACTGTTTTGTGGCTAAAATGGAATGATTTTAAACTACCAGATTATAGATTGGCTTCTGGTGTTAGAAATGGCTGGTGCAATGGGCATTTGCTTTTCCAGTGGTTAATAGACTCAATTTATTCTAGAAATGAGAAAAGTGGTGGAGGTTACATAGTTGTGGACCCTATTTTGCGTGTTGGAGCTGATAATCATGTATTGCATTTGGACTGTGTTACGCTCCAGACATTCCTAGCTAAGTGTCTGGGACCATTTGAGGAATGGGAAGATCGTCTTAAAGTTGCAAAAGAATCAGGTAATAACCACATACTCTGTAAAGGTCATTTTTTAAGGGACACGGCTTACATTTATACTGGTTAAGTTCTACTGGTATGTGTTACACCGTTCATATATCTTTTTTTAGTTTGCAGTTTAAGTTATGAAAATAGTTATGAAACTGAATTCAATGCTAAACATATAATAGAGCAAACCAGTCTGATTAGTAAAATATTTGCTTTGAAAGACAAGTATTTGGGAATCACCTTTAAAAATGTGATATAAATTTTTAGATTGTTTTTGTTTCACATAGATGTGAAGCTTTGTAGACTTGATTGAAATGGGGGACAGGAGATGGGGATAGAGAATGGTTTAAATCTTACCCTAAAACTTCTCTTAGTTATTTGAAAAGTTTTGTTTTCAGTATATACTGTGATAAATGGTATAATCATAGAATTTCCTCATCTTCATTGTAACATTTTTCTTGTATTAACAAATGGTTTCCTTGTCATTTTTGTAGGTTACAACATGATTCATTTTACACCATTGCAAAAACTTGGATTATCTAGATCATGCTACTCTCTGGCTGATCAGTTAGAAGTAAATCCTGACTTTTCAAGCCCAAACAAAAAATGTACTTGGAGCAGTGTAGGAAACCTAGTGGAAAAAATGAAAAATGAATGGAATATGCTTTGTATAACAGATGTAGTCTACAATCATACTGGTATGATTTTTGTTACACTATCTTGATGCTTTCTGTTGCCAACTCAGTAATGCTGTCAAAGCTAATCTGGTTATTCCACTAGTCCATTTTTTTGTTTCCTGAATAGACCTTTTAAAAGGCTTTTTAAGGAACTTCTTCTTCTTTATCTGCCTTCTGAACCCTTTAAGTCTAAGGCATCTCTTGTGTCTGTCAGGGAGAGTTGTCTATTAAGATGGCAAAATGAGAATTCTTTATCTGTGCTTAAAGCACCAAAAATTTTTGGAACTTCTGATTCTTTCAGATGTTGGAGTGCTATTTACTTAGACATCAAAGATGCTTCTAAAATCCATTTCTTTGACTCAATGAGCAATGATTAACAAAAACAGATTAGGAATAAGATGGTTATTTAAAAGAGTAAGATGAATTCTATCATATACATTCTCCCAGATCCCATGAAAGACTGTACATTTCCACAATGTACCAAGGAAAACCCTTTCCCCACACACCCACTCCTGTGCCCATTTCCAAAGGTCATGTGTGTCCTTGGTACCAACTCTGTATATTTTATTTTTTGTAGGAGTCTAATATCTAAATACAGTTCAGTATGTAATATTTCTATGGTACCATTAGTTTGGCCTATGGTATTTTTATAGCTAAATAATAGATGGTCCCTACTTCAATGGCTGTAAAATGAAAGAGCTGAAGCCTGCAAACTCTTACTCACATGAGTAAGAGCTATTCACATGAACACGTGTTTGGAAAACAGGACCCAAGTTTGGACATAACATAAGTCATAATAGCAAGCAGTGTAGGAGTGGTAGGCCAAGAAGAGGCAAGTGAGGCAGCCATTAAAAACTTTGCTTGGTTAGATATACATGCATTTTAAAAGGTTCCATGATTTTATTTTTTGTTTGCTGCTGATAAACTAATATAGGTGAAAAGAAAAGGAGTACTTGTAGCACCTTAGAGACTAACCAATTTATTTGAGCATGAGCTTTCGTGAGCTACAGCTCACTTCATCACGAAAGCTCATGCTCAAATAAATTGGTTAGTCTCTAAGGTGCTACAAGTACTCCTTTTCTTTTTGCGAATACAGACTAACACGGCTGTTACTCTGAAACCTAATATAGGTGGTGGTTCTTTTTTTATTTAAGTGGTGAAAAAGATTTCAGTTGGAATATTTTAATTCTAAGCCGCTTCTGGGAAGTATCTTAATCATTATTTGACTAATCAAAATAATTTGATAGAATATTTGGCCGTTTGCATATTCAAAAAAAGCTTAGTTTTATGCAGTACTCTCAAACAACTGAATGTCTGATAACGGGTTCAGCAATCAAATGATTAAACATGTTAGTGTCACAATCCTTTCTTTAAATGAAATGTAGCTCTGTGTAAAGCAAACAAAACTTGCAGTTTATTTCTTTTGAGATAGCTAGCCTTGCAGACAACAAACTCCCCTGGCCTCGTCTGGTATTCTTGCTACAATAAGCTTTTTTACAAATATAGATTAAAAGCTTGGGCTCTGAGTCTACAAATTCTCATGCATGTATGTAACTTTACTAACATGAGTAAAGTTATGCTCTTGTGTGTTTGCAGGGCTGGGGCCTTATAATGTCCCCACAACACCAGATGAGAATTTGCTATATTTTAACATCTGTAACTACAGTTCCTGTACCATTCTGTAGCTACCAGCCCTGCTTATCTCTTCTGTCTTCTTTCTCTGCCCAGCGTGTATGTGCATTGCAGTTTAGGGAAATTTCTCCCATTTCCCTATAGCCAGAACTATTTTAATCAGTCTTCAGTAGCACTTAAATTTATGTGGTAAATCAAACTAGTCATCAGAGTCAACACTTATTTGAGATGAAAGGGAAAAAGTCTGAGTGCTATTGTTTTTGTGCATCTGGCTGCACACTCAAAAAGACAACATTGCATTAATTTCTGTTCTGAAACTAATCTTCACAACAGAATGGGCTAGTAAACTTCTTTCTTCCTCTTTTCTTCCTTCCTTCCTTTTTTAAAATGAAGCTAATATTATGGTGAATATGTTATTTGCTGAAAATCCCTACATTGGTGAATTTCTCTAATCAGATATACATATATTTTCAGTCTGTTGCATTTCACAAAGCAAGAATAGTTTGTCAAGCATAATGCTGTGTGTCTAGTGTTTCTCCAGAAATAAGTTTCTCTCACTAAATTCTAATTATTGAGAGGATTAATCTTCAAAGCAATTCCTTTATCACAATGATTAGAAATATTTTCATCTCCTCTCTGTAGGCTAGAAAGGCAGTTTCTCAGAATCAAGTGAAAAGTTGTCGTTTTGCTGCCTTATATTTTGTTGGAAGGAATCAATCAACCATTTCTGAGGCCAAAGGAGAAGTCTTTCTTAGAAGCATCTATATGCTTTTTGCTCATCTACGCAGAATAGGATAACTTTGCTTTTTAAAGAAAAAAAATATTTTTCATACAGATGTCTGAGATAGCATATGCATGTTGAATAATTCCCCATACAAAATATTTACAAGTGAAGCTTTTAAAAGCCCAAGGTAATGTTGCTTTGTTCCTTTCAGTTGAGCAGGCTGCTTTTAGTTGTGGATGGCAGAGTTCCATATTTATAAAGGTCGAACAGTCAAAGCCAAATTCTAAATGATATTGAGCTGCAATGTTAGAGGTCACTTTGAACAAGAGAGACCTATACATACTATAGGGTGAGCAGCAGTGCTGTTTCTTTTCCTTTGATATAAAAAGATCCCCCTCCACTCCCCCACAAAAAACCTCAACAAATCCCCCAAAACATTCGGTAGTTTTTACTAATCAGCCCATGTTTGTGGTTCCATTGTGATATAGGGGATTTTTGACTCTTTCTTAATATTTATTCTGCTGTTTTACCAAGGTTAGAAATTACTTGTGGATAGTAACTGACACAATCCTTTTTTCCTCTTTCTTTGAGTTAAGTACCACATTTGCTTTACTTCAGTCTCTCATGGCTCCGCTAAAACAATTCAGTGCTAAGAAAATGCACATCTAAAAGTCGTGTAAGAATTATACAGAGGTGAAACCAATAGTGATGAATGAAATTGCTCCCAGAAAAACCCCATGGAATTTAATAGTGATCATTTTTGTTTGGTTGTTGAGCCATTCTGTAGCAGTTCTAATGCTCTATTATATTACATAGACTAGTTGAAAAGATCCCATGAAAATAATAATTTTCTATTAAACTCTAGGACTTTTCCATGAGGAAAGAGAAATGAAGTAATGGGAGTTAGATGCTTTCTTTTCTTTTCTTTCATATTCCCCCAGTGATTTATAATCTCTTCCACCCTTCAGGGGTACCCACTATTACTACAGGCATAGCCTTATGTATAGTGCAGTGAGTTGCACTCAGTTTCTGTGATCAGGGCTCCTTGATTTCTGTATTGTGTTCATTTTTAATTTTATTTAAAACAAACATCAGTATTTTTCTCTATGCTGCCACAGGAGTGAAGATAAAAGGGGTCTTACATGAACCATCATTCAGCTTGCTGCATGCACCAGAGGGAAGGATGTGCTTATTACTCCGTATCAGGGCTTTGTAATGAAGATCAATGATTTGCCTCCCTTCCCATCACTACATCTGGTCCAGTGGGCTGATCAGTTTATTTACAGCATAGGGTCATATATAAATCCTCCACTCTGGGTTCACCTCTCTTCTACCCTCCCAGGCATCCAAATCACTACTCTGAAAGGTTCTGTTTCTTTGGAACATCTTGTATCTTTAGGCCATTTTTAGCACCATACTTGGTGAGAAATGACATTCTTGACCGTAAACATATTAAGGGACTATTCGGAGAGAAATAATGCCCAGCAACCAGTGTGTGTTGTTTTGCAACAAAAAATGTAAAATTCTCTCTGCTATACTAGAAGTGATACCTGTTTGTCTACTGTCTTTCTATAGTCCTATCAAAGACGTTAGTGGAATGCAAGCTTTCACATGGCCTGATTCTGTATTGGCTGAAGTCAAACCCTTCCATTAGAAAAGGAACTGATTTTACCTCCTGTGCTATCCTAACGTTTTGGTCCTAAGATGTTTGTATAAAAGTTAAATAATTCAACTTGTTTAATTATTCTGTTTTTTTTCTCTTCTTAAATAAGCTGCTAACAGTGAATGGATTAGGGAGCATCCAGAATGTGGTTATAATCTTGTAAATTCTCCGCACCTGAAACCAGCCTGGATCTTAGACAGGGCTCTCTGGCATTTAAGCTGTAGTGTGGCTGAAGGGAAATACAGAGATAAGGGGCTGCCTCCTTCAATTGAAAATGACCATCACCTGAATGTAAGTAAATGAGAAACATAGCATTTCACTTTTGTAATAATAATCAGTGAAACTGGATGAAGAAATGTTCAGTTATCTATACTGTGGGAGTGCCTAAAATGTGCTGATGTTTTTTAAACATATAGGAAGACAGTTCCTGCCCTGAAGAGCTTATTTTTTAATGTCAACATTTAATAGTTTTATAGGACTTGTGTATTGTAAAAGTAACTTTTCTTTCTTTTTTACAGAGTATCCGTAAAATAATTTGGGAGGATATTTATCCCAAGATAAAACTATGGGAATTTTTCCAAGTAGATGTTAACAAAGCTGTGCAGCAATTTAAAATCCTTCTGACTCAAGGTAAAAACATGCCTTTTACACATAAGTAATCCTTATACTTCAGTATGTTTATCTGCTGTTGGGCAAACCTTGTATGTAAACGATAAACACAGTGGGGTAGGGAGGAAAAAACAATGTAGGAAGTCTTAACTTAGATGATGTGTTGAAGGCAGTAGTTTGCCCAGCTCATTCATCTACAAAAAAGTTTTGGTAGAAAAGTAGCGATTGAAAAAGTTACTTCATGCTAGACCATGGAAAATTAGATATATAATTCTGCTGAAATATTTTTATTGTAATATGGAGAATATCTAAAATAGTACAACATATGAGACAGGTTAGTAGTAGTTAGTGGACAGTATTGCAAGAAACCCACAGAGTATAGTGGGTTTTGTTTTTATTGGTGTGGGGGAGGTTTTTGGTGTTCTGTTTGGTTTACCTCTGAGCATGCATTCATCTTGAACACTATCAATTCTGACAAACTTTATTTTTGTATCTTTCATCAGTATGCACAATTGGCAAGTACTTTAAAAACTACTTTATCTAAGAATTGAGCTAAAATCCTGACCCGGCTGAAGTCAATGGGTGTTTTTGCAATTAACTTGAGTAGACCTGGTTTTTCTCCCTTACTGTCTATATTTCAGTTTCTAGGTAAACTGGAACAGCAAAAACTGTATTCTTTGTTTTTAAGATTTATTCTGTGTGGTTTTAAACTTCCACCCTACAACATTTTGTGTTAAATGTTTTTCTTCAGGTAACAGGAAAACTAAATCTGATCCAAACCAACATCTTCAAATAATTCAGGATCCTGAATATAAGCGACTTGGCTGTACTGTAGACATGAATATCGCATTGGCAACATTCATACCACATAGGTACTGTAATATAGGGTTTGTACAAGAGAAACTGAACCTTAACTTTAAACTGAAAAATCTAGTATGGTGGTATGTTCTGGGTGGGGGAGGGAATTAGAATTTTAATTCCTCAATATTTGAGTTACCTTTGATTATAAATATATATATTTTTAAAATTTAGGAGCTTTAGACAGGTGTATAATGATATCTGAACCTAATGGCTTTTAATTGCTCTTTTTCTCTTGTTTAGCAATGGGCCAGCTGCAATACAAGAATGCTGTAACTGGTTCCAAAAGAGAATTGAAGAATTAAATGCTGAGCAGTTTCGGCAAACTAACTACCATCAAGAGCAGGTCTTATTAATGCTGTATTTAAATGTTGAATTCTTGCTTTCTGTTATAAATCATAATTTATTCTATTTTATTGAACTAACATTTATATTAATGTATTTCCAGGCAGTCACTTGTCTTCTGGAGACTGTGGTTTATGAGAGACTGGCTGACCATGGTCCTAAACAGGGTCCTGTTAGCAGAAAATACCCTTTAGTTACCAGGTATTATGCCTTTGTCTTCCTCTCAAAAACCCATTTAAAAATTTTCTTTCTTGGATTGACTAGAACTTCCAGATTTGATGTTACATGCAATATTATAGGCCTGATTCTTATCATCTTTAAGGCCACGTCCTATAAGGAACTGATCACTGACATGAACTTCAGCAGTCCTGCTGAGCACCTTGCAAGATTGGACCTTTACACTGATATAAGTTAGGAGTAACTGCTCCTTAGGTCAGTGGAGTAACAACTGTGTAAGAAGAGAAGAATCAGGCCTTATATCTTAGAAACCAAACTATGTGGAACTTATTTTAATTGAGGAAGTATGAATTTGGAGCTTCAGCTTTACTTCAGCGAGGGTTAGTGTTTCTTTTGTAAACTGCTTGTGTAAGTTGCACTTATGCCTGTGGAGGAGAGACATCTCTGGTGAGGTGAATGCAAAATTCAGTAAAACTAAACTTCAAAATAAAGCTCACCTTTTTATCATAATAACATGGGATGCCTTCCTTATAGTAGTTGGCTTCATGGCTACTCTAATTTTAAGACTAAAATCTTCTGTTTTGAACTACTGGCCTGCAAAATTTCATTTTCACATTCTGAGCTACAGTGTAAGCCTTTGCAACTCTTTCCCTATCTTTCTCCTCCTCCCTTACCCACACAGATGGACAAATGGTCACTTAGTAAGACTAAACACTGATAATGCTTTGTTAGCAACTTTGTTAGCAATGACTGAACTTGATAAGAATTTTGGATAAAATCCTACCCCCAAAAAAGTGATCATCAGATGAGACTATAGAACACAGTATAGTGTTCAGGACTCTATTGAAATCCAAGGGATTTTGCATGGTGTTCATATAGCGCTCATCTTGACGGAGCAGGAAAAATTATACCACGCTGCACTTGCCAGGTCAGCTGCATAGTGGAGTTTTGCAAGGGTGTGAAGTGCAGCCTGAGGGAAATCGGATGCGTAGGGGATCATTTGCGTGGAGCTGTTAGAATCTCTGCACTAGTGTGGAAGCAGTGCACTACTCAGTAAAGAGGATACGATGACCCAAAATCCCTACTTATTGAGTATAATTTGGAATATGGAATAAAACTTAAATGGAACTATTTATATGCATTAAAATTAAGGATATGCATGAGTGTTTGCAGGATTGGGATCTTAAACCCAGATTTTTGAAAGGTATTCAGGCTTTGCTGTGCTCAGTGATGCAATCCGTAACTGATTTAGGTGTCTAAATCTAATTTTCAAAAGAGAGTTAGGCATTTAGGAGCCTAAATTCCATTGTAGGTGTTTACAGCCATACTTTTAAAAATGTGGGCCTTAGTCTTCAAAATATCAGTGAACTATCACATTTCAGCAGCTTATCTTGTCATCCCAAGTTATCCAGCTATGTTGAAAAACAGAAAACGGCCCTTCATTTATGTTCTAGCAATAGCAGATACTTTTTACAATGAATAAAAGCTAGGCGGTCTTGCAACTTATTGGTTGATATAAGGCAGGAGGTATTTCAATTGTCTTCAAAAATTAAGACAAACTAAAATGCACTTTAAAATTAAGTATTTGTGCAATCTCTAGATACTTTACTTACCCATTTAAAGAGATGACCTTGGAAGAGGAAGAATCTCTGATGCATCAGCCTGATAAAGCTTGTCATTTCTTGGCTCATAACGGTTGGGTAATGGGAGACGATCCTCTGAGAAACTTTGCTGAACCAGGTTTGTGAACTGAACTTCAAATCACTTTATAAACAAAGCAAAAAAGGCATTTTTCTGTGTCTATCTCAACACAGTTCCAAATTTTAATTGAAAATTGTGCCAGTATATAGTATTTGTGTTCCAATTCAGCATGCTAGTGACACTAAAAATACTTCAGGATTTAGAGAGAGAGTCTTTCAATGTAGATAACTTTTCATTCTCTGAGTGCTGTTGACTGTTATATTTCCATGTTTATAGCAACCACTGGTAGTACCTACTATAGTTTAAGCTGCAAAACACTTCGCTTTCTGAATAAGTAAGAATGGACTTATGCTGTGATCATGATTTTCTGAGACATTCACTTTTTTTAAATGAAATTTTCTATGCTTAGTCTCTACTTGAAGGGATGCAATTTAAGTTTAAATGCATCTTTCCTGGCGTTTGAGTTAGGAGAACTGAACATAATATTTTTCCCTTTTTTTATTCTGACTGCATTTTTCTATATAGATAGCTCAAATACATCTGAACTTTGAGGGCCAGAGCCTCAATTTTGCCTTTAAGGTACCCCACGATTGTCTTAAATTCTCAGATCACCTATAGCTTTTATTTTATTTGGGGAAAACTCAGAGCAGTGGAAGTTTTGTCTAGTGTGATGGAGTTTTAATTCCAATTCAGGAACCAAACTGTATCTTCATCTGCACAGCCTGGTCTCTGGTCTTGGATTCTCTTATTCCATACCCCCTCTAGACTGGAAGTTTTGCTAATGACTAAACTGAGAACATTCTTGTTGTTGGTAAAGGAAGAGAAGGGAAGCTCCGTAAATCTAGCCTGTGGACAACATCACAGCAACTATTCGCTCATAAAGTGAGACTCATAAATTTACTGAAAACCTGTCAGAGCTCTGCCAATAGGTACTTTCAGTATTTGGCTCTTAATTGTTACAGAATAATTGACTTTTCTTTTTTTCTGTACATATTCTCTTTAAATAAGTAAAAGTCAAGGCATAGCTGAAGATAATACATGTTTGCCCAGTGTGGAATTAATTCTTTTTTAATCATCCTTCAGTTGGCTGACCTTTCGTGTTGGCAAATATACATGTATTTGGCTAGTGCAGTTGTCGCCCATTGTCTAGTTTTCACTAAATGGGTGAAATCTTGGCCCCATTTGAAATCAGTAGGAGTTTTACCATTGAATTTGGTGCCAGGATTTCACCCGGGTGTTTGAAGACACTTGTATCTCAATATATGACAGTCCTTTGTATTCTCCTTTTAAATCAGTTTGCCTTAAGGGGCCACTAACCACATGACTTGCACACTTCCATTGATCAAACATTGTGCGGTGATGCACAGGTAACTGTGGTGCAGGCTATCAGTGTGTCATAGCTCGCCTTTTTCTGTGATCGCAGTGAACAGGTGTTCAGAACTTGCCAGGGCGCAAATGTTTGGAGTGAAAAAATTCACAAAAATAGCAGAAGGAGAGGTTTGAAGTCGTGCAGGATTAGTTTCTCAAGTGTGTGCAGAAAGTTTTCCTTATGTTTCATGATTCAACCTTTTTTACTTCGCTAACTGAGTAGAACAGTGAGAATAAGAAGACGTCATTGTAGAATCAAAGCAATCATCAGACCATCAGAAAGCCTTATTTCAAATGATTCTGCATTTGACGAGCAATATGTTCCTTATGCATGATTGTAAGCAATTACCAACTGTGGCTTGACAGCCGATGCTGAAAATCGAAGTAGCTTCTGCAGCCTTCTTGGATGTCTTCAGTAGATCATAAACACCTTTTTCCTGGTCTGACTCTGACAAAATACTTTTAATAAAATCTTCCAGGGCTGTGCCTTTTTAAAATAGTAGAAAATCTCATGTTTTGTGGTGCAATGGAGTGGAGCATCATTTGCAGATAAATTGTGATTTTAAAATTTATACAGATCACCTCTAAAAGACTGCAATAAGTGAATAAATGAAACAAACAGATTAGGAGTACAATTTTCAGAGTCAACTCAGTGACTTAGGTGCTTTTTCAAAATGTAACCCTAGATTAATAGGAATAGAAACTGCTGCTAAAATTGATTAGATTTTAAAATTGAGGCTGTTTATATTATACACACAGATGCCGGTACGAACCTGTTCACTATGAATATTTTGTCAGTATTTGAATTATTGTTTTGTAGATAACTGAAAACATGGAAAAGATTGTAGAGAAAGGGAAACCTTTCATTGAGTTTGAAGTGCTGTTAATTTTAATGCATAGTACACTGTTTTCTTTTATTCCATTCTTTCATTCAGCCATTGTTGTACCTTATTTGAGATTTAAAATACAAATTGGTTTACTAATATTAATACAGTTCTATAAACAGAAATCTTAAATACACCTTTAGAATAAACTGATATGGGGAACTGTAATTTAGCATACAGTACATAATTTGGGAGTTGATATGGTATAGTTAGGAATCTTGTTTTAATCTTTTTTTTTTAAACTTCTTTAGTCATAAACTCAATGTGTCTCATGCACTTGCTCCCAGTGGTGTATTGTAGTTAAATGAATTTCTTTTCTTTACAGGTTCAAATGTTTACCTAAGAAGAGAACTTATTTGCTGGGGAGACAGTGCCAAACTGCGCTATGGAAATAAACCAGAAGACTGCCCTTACCTGTGGGCACATATGAAAAAATACACTGAAATTACTGCCAAATATTTCCATGGAGTACGTCTTGACAACTGTCACTCAACTCCTCTTCATGTAGCTGAGGTGTGGAAAGAATAGGCATTTTTATGATAAAGTTGTTTTTGTCTGTGAAATAAGATTTACAATGCTGTTTGTGATGGAAGCCTGTGTATGTCCGCATAGCAAAAGTTGCTCATGCATTAGCCTATCTGAGCTAGTTTGAACCCAGGTAATGCAGATAACAATAGCAGTGAAGGCCAGCACTGGATTCACAACAGGCTAGTGAGCTGAGTGCATATCTAGTGAACTGAGTGCTAGGCTTGAACTACCTGTGCTGAAGCCTGTGCTTGTATTGTCTTCACTGTTGTTGTTCGTTGTGCTAGCTGGGTTCAAGTGTTGTAGAGCCATACCCTGTGTATCTCCTGTCACAGAGCTTTGTCAGAGAATATTGTTTCAGGTGTGGTATGAAATTCCTTGAATGTTGTCTATTTTTTTTCTACTTTCCGATGAGTGCCTTCTCTCCAAGACAAAATCACTCTTAAACAATATAGGCTACTCATATCTAACTCATTGCAATTGGTGTCATCCTTTGTGAGTTAATAATTTGGGCATTTGCATCTAATTTTGTTTTAGATTACTGTGGAAAATATTTTTTTCAAAGCTCTGTCTGATCAAGCATAGTGTGAGTGACTATCCAACTAGCTCTCCAAGATGCATCTTTTTTCCAATTTAAGTCCAGTTAATGAATATTTACACAATAGTTATTTTTCTGATGACTGTATCAAAGCAGGATTGAAACTAATTGCAGATCTAGAAGTGTTTTCTGCATTTGGGGAAACAAAATATTGATTCACTTAAACCAGTTCTAAATGCCCTGGGAGCCATAGTGCAGACAAGCTTCCCACAGCTAGACCTGCTGTTACTACCATTTTAATTAGATCTGCTTTTCAGCAGGTTTAACTGAACTGCTCATAAAAGAGGGCATAGCCATGAGACTCTTGTCTAAGGGTATGTCTACACTTAAAATACTACAATGGCACAGCTGCACCACTGTAGCATTCCTCTGTAGACACTGCCTACATCAACAGGAGGGTTCTCCCATCAGTGTAATTAAGCCACCTCCAAGAGGCAGTAGCTAGGTCAACAGAAGAAGTCTTCCGTCACCTAGTGCTATCTAGTCAGAGTCTTAGGTTGAGTTAACAGCACCGCTCAGGGATGTGAAATTTTTCACACCCCTGAGCAACATAGTTACACTGAACTAATTTTCTAGCATAGACCACGCCTAACTCTGGTTTAGCTGAAATGGCAGTAGAACTGATGAGAATGTTTTTGTTTGTTTGTGTTTTGTTTTGTTTTTTTGCACATTTCCCCAGAGTAGACATGGATATATCAAGACCAGTACTGAGTGTCACAAATATCATTTTTCATCAACATCACCAGCAACAGTGGGTGCAAATGACCATGAATTTGTTTTCAGCAGCTTTTCATAGTTACTATTATTATTGATGATGCTAGTGTTTCCTATAATGTAAACTCTTGTTGCCGACCTAAACTGTGTTTCATCATAGCCTTTCACAACTGGTAAAGTATAACCTACAACAGTATAGTTTGAAAGGGTTATTTTTAAGTGTTCTGCTTGTTTTTTCTTTTTTACCTTAGGACTTTTCTACACAAACAGCTGCATCAATATAACAAAATTAGTTTCTAAATCAATGTAGTTAAGCAGATGCAACCCGTTTGTGTGACATGCTTAGATCTTAATGCAGTTTCTTATTAAATTAAGCCAAACTAATATAAGGCCCTCTTAAACTGATTTCAGAGTATCCAAAGACAGGTGTTGCACAGATTTAAATCAGTTTTTAGAAATTATTTTAATTAATCAGTACAGTTTCTAGCTGTAGACTGGGCCTTAGAAATATGAAGTCTCATTTCTCTACTTTTGGTTCTTGAAGGTGCAGAGGACTAGAATAGGAACTTTCTCACCCTTAATTTAAGTATTGGTGTTGTGTCTTAAACAGAGATCTTTCTTCCCAACTGTTCGTTCATGCAGTTGAGTTTAAAAGGTATTGACAAAAACAAGCAAAAAACCCACAAAGTTTGAAGTAGTTTGACTAAAAATCCTGTGAGTTTTTTCAAATTATTCAGGAGGCTTTCCAAATAATCTTTATCAAAACCATACCAGATCTTGTAAATGTTCACAAGCACACCATGGGGGTCTAGCTTTTTTGCGATAAGTTCTGTATATTTATTGAATTCAGTATATTTTTGTTTTCTTGAACAAAATTGTTTAATAACTCAATTATTTGGTTAGCATGCATAATAATATATTATGATAGATGCCTAGGTTTCAAGGGGTTTTTGATGAAGATAATTAAAAACAATTATTATGATCTATAGGAGATGCTAGCAGCAGCTAGGTCAGTCAGACCTAATCTTTATGTGATAGCTGAACTCTTCACGGGGAGTGAGCATATTGACAATGTCTTTGTCAACCGCCTGGGAATTACCAGTCTTATTAGAGGTACTATAGACACCTGAAAGCCATATAGGATTGCTATATATGGTTCAAAGTTTTTTAATGTGAAACTAACATTGATTTGTTTTTTATTCTTCTTGTATCTTTGTCCTTTGCAAATTCAAACATCTTTCCTGCTTCCTTTTTCTTTTAACTCCTCCATCTGTTGTATCCTTCTATTCCTGATTTGGCTTTTTCAATTTGTTAACTTTTGTATAATTGAACTTGTTTGGTTTCTTCGTATTTTGGCTTTCCATTTTGTCTCTGCTGCATGGCACTTCCCTGCTGCCCAATCCATGCCTAGCCTTGTATCCTTTCTTTTTTTCTGTTCTGCCTTTTCCTTTTCTGTGGCTTTCTTGGCTGTGCTTTTTGCAGTACATGCTGGACACAGCTAGAAAACTGCGTGCTGATTTGTATGTAGTGGCTGAGCTGTTCACAGGAAGTGAGGAGTTGGACAATATTTTTGTGACTAGATTGGGCCTTAGCTCCTTAATAAGAGGTAGGCTTGCTATGTGTGTGGTTCCCCATTACCTCTCTGACACTGCATGTATGGTGTGCCATTTATGAAGAAAATGTCATATATTAGAACTGCACAATTTATCATATTTCATATATTTAACAAGTGCTCAAAGATGCATTTAATAGTATCGTTCGTTTTATATTTATCTATTTAAGTATGTTATTGCATCTTAGACGGAGAGATGCATCCTAGGTGTAAGGTGTCTAAAAAGAATAGTTATATGTCAGTCCGGAGGGGTGGGAGTATTTGTGGCATAGCTTTCCCGTACTTCCTGCCGATTGGTTTTGTTTTTTTTTTAAGAAGTTGATCACCTCCTCTGAAGCCTGGTAGACCTTGAAAAGGGGATCCTAACATTTTAAATGTTTTCCCCCCCTTCCACCCTAACACATGATGATAAACTACATAGTGGATGCCCTCAAATTATGGACACACTGCCTATAATTAAAGTTTAATGTTCTATTAATATTATTCATTAATATCTTTGATTATTTAACATGCCAAATGTAAAACCATTTATTATAGTCTCCCTATTGGATAACCTTTAGTTATGGTAGTAATTCTCCTATAAACACTCATGCAAGTTTTGTTCTGTAGAGGCAATGAGTGCATATAACAGTCATGAAGAGGGAAGATTAGTTTACCGCTTTGGAGGAGAACCAGTTGGTTCTTTTGTTCAGCCACGTTTGAGACCTTTAATGCCAGCTATTGCACATGCACTGTTTATGGATGTTACACATGATAATGAATGTCCTATTCAGGTGAGCACTTAAATTATGTTAGATTTTCATGTTAAATACATATTTTTTGTACTGTGATTCAGTCATGCCAATTCATAAGGGTTATGTGAAATGGAATTACTTTTGAATGGTGTTTCGGAAAGTCATGATGGTAGTTAAAAGGTTGCATGAAATAAGTGGAATTGTACAGTAGTTCCCACTGCCTTTCAACCTTCTGTCCCTTTTGGGAGAGAAGCATAAAAGCTACTAAATATGTCCTGTTTTTACTCTTGCATGTCCAGCTATTATGAACCTAGTAATGTTTGCCTGTTCTCTCAAACTTACCCACTCTGTCCTTCCCAGGATAATAATGGGAGGATCAGAGGAAGATTGCTGGGAGTTGGGATGACATTGTTAGGAGCTCTGCTCTTTTAAGCCTTGTGGTGATTTTGTTTGCTTGTTTATTTTAAATAAAAGCCTGTAGAAGTTTTAATCTGTGATTACAGTGTGATAAGCACATCAATAAACAATGAGTTCTTCTGTAAAACAGGTATTTCTATGTATCTAAGTGTTTGGAAGGAAATAAGATGATGATAGACTAGGTTCATTTGTCTGTTTTTATTCTTCTCAATAGCACCGATCTGAGTATGATGCTCTTCCCAGCTCAATGATTGTTTCCATGGCATGCTGTGCTACCGGAAGCACCAAAGGCTATGATGAGCTAGTACCACACCAGGTCTGTGTCTCCTCTTTAAAACTTCAGTTGACTCAGTTAAAAATAAAAAAATCACTACTATAATACTGGAACACACATATTAAAGTGTATACAATAACTTGGGTGATTTACTCATTTAAAATTCCAAGTAGATAGCTTATTAGCTATTTCACTATATCAGTGAATAATAAATTTGTAATATCGGATAAATGTATCTGTGTGTGTGTGTATAAGTGTAAAATGGCATTTCCAATTATTTTTCAGAATAGTTCATGTATGGCTAAAGTTTAATTTATTTGCAGATTTCTGTAGTCTCTGAAGAGAGGTTTTATGCCAAATGGAATCCAGCAGCAACACCCTCCACTCCTGGTGAAGTTAATTTCCAAACTGGAATTATAGCAGGAAGGCTGGCCATGAACAGGCTGCACCAAGAGCTGGGAGTCAAAGGCTTCATTCAGGCAAGAAATTGAAGTAAAATGTTTCACTCGTTTAAATTTTTTTCAGAATAAGAATGTGTGTTAATTTATATATTTTGTAGGTGTATGTGGATCAAGTTGATGAGGATATAGTAGCAGTGACTAGGCATTGTCCTAACACACACCAATCTGTAGTGGCTGTGTCTCGTACTGCTTTCAGAGATCCTAAAACTTCCTCCTACAGCAAAGAAGTGCCTCAAATGTGCATCCCAGGTATTCAAACCTGTTTTTGAAGAGTTGACCATATCAAGGAAATTAAAGCTTAAAGCTGAAACTGAGTGATTGACAGACTCCATGCTCGCCATGTTGATTCTAATTTCTTGAAGGTTATGTGATTAGGATGCAACATTAAGTACCTTTTATATGCTTTAATATCTATGCATCACAAATAGTTAAAGGGACACCAACTGAAATAACTTTTGACTTTAAAAAAAAATACAGTAACTCCTCGCTTAACGTTGTAGTTATGTTCCTGAAAAATGCGACATTAATCGAAAAGATGTTAAGCGAATCCAATTTCCCCATAAGAATTAATGTAAATGGGGGGGTTAGGTTCCAGGGAAACTTTTTTCACCAGACAAAAAACTATATATACACACACACACAGTATAAGTTTTAAACAATTTAATACTGTACACAGCAATGATGATTGTGAAGTTTGGTTGAGGTGGTAAAGTAAGAGGGTGGGATATTTCCTAGGGAATGCCTTACTGCTAAATGATGAACTAGCATTCGGCTGAGCCCTCTAAGGGTTAACACGTTGTTAATGTAGCCCCACTCTACAAGGCAGCACGAATGGGGGAAGGGGAGACAGCATGGCAGACAGAGAGAGAGAGATGTGGATTGCCCCTTTAAGTACTCTGACACCATTCTAAGTACATTACCTTTAAAAAGATCAGGAAGTTGAGACAGCAGCTGCGGAGACCTTGGGCCAGCAAGCTCTCTCCGTCCTGAGCCATGTCCTGTCTCCACCCTACTCTATATGGAGAAGGGGTAAGCAGGGAGCAGGAGTAGGGGGGAGGGGGATACCCTGACATTAGCCCCCTCTTCGCCCTCCTCCCCTGCACAGCAAGCAGAAGGATCCGGGGAGCAGCTCCAAGGCAGAGGGCAGGAGCAGCATATGGCGGTGCCGGGGAGGGACAGCTGAACTGCCAGCAACTGATAGCCTGCTGGGCAGCTGCTGCACAGGGAACTTAGAGGAGCAGGGAGCTGATGGGGGGCTGTCGGTCCACCCTGGTTCCAAGCCCCCACCAGCTCGCTCCAACGGTCTGCTCTTCCTGCAAGCAGTGGACAAAGCAGGCAGCTGCCAAACATCGTTATAAGGGAGCATTGCGCAACTTTAAACGACCATGTTCCTTAATTGATCAGCAATGAAACAATGTTAACCGGGATGACTTTAAGTGAGGAGTTACTGTATGTCATCTGCCCCAATATCCCCATGGAAATACTGTGGTTTCATTTCCTCTCTTGCTGTTTGCGAATGAGCCACATAAATGGGAAGCTAATTAACTCTAGCAGAAGACCACTGGAAGTGACTGTATGAAAAATGTCTATTTTTCTTTTTTGTCCATATACAGCAATCTTAATATCTTATTTTACAGTATTCTTAAGTGTTACTAGTAGTTATAGGTAAAGAATTTCAGATGTGTGGGTTTAAGTTGGTTGAGAGTGATAGTTTAAAAAGAAGCATCAAAGTGAGAGAGAACTGGCACAATAAATTGTACATATGTATTTTTGCAGGTCCATAAGACTGACAGTGTAGACCTCATTAGATAATTGAGCATTCTGCATTGAAGTCAATATTTGATCTGAGCTGGCTGTAACATTTCTGAAGAAGCCATTGCAATTTTTTGTATTAACCTTTAGTAAGGACCCAAGCCTGCAAACATTTCTTCACTTGCTTGACTTTTCTCACATGGTAGTCCCACTGAAGTCAATGGAACTGCTAAAATGCTTAAAGTTAAGCACATGTGTAAGTGGTTGCAGCATTGAGGGCTTAGTTTTTAGATCATTGGATGGATAGAGCAAATAAGGTCTTGAATGTCAATGTGGTTGCTCTGGTATTTAAAAACTGATGTGCTCCGTTTAAAATAAGATCTGTGACTGCTGTTTGGGAAGTGGTGCAGAGCTTTGCCTAATTCAGAACCCCCAAATAATCACATCTAGCAAGTCACCTGTTGGGTTTAAAGGTGCAGGGTCAAGCCCTTATTTGTAATCCATGACTGATATCCCCATAACTCATTGTGAGTTAGGAAAGTTCTATCTTAGATTACACCATGGCCAATAAGTGTGTAGTGAACATGTTTAATCAATCAAGATTGAGTGACTGTAATGTATAGAACAGTAAAATATAGATAAATTCCCTTTCAGAGCTGTCAAATGTATTTAGTAATTTAACTGTGCAATTGAGACATGCATTTTCTATAGTTAAACTCAAAAATGTTGTTTAATTTGTGTTTCAAGCAAGATTTAAACTTATTTTAAAACCAAGAATGCCATATATATTTGCTATCAATATTTTTGTGTGTATGTATTTTGAGTTATGATATGTGATTTAACTGTTTATAGGCAAAATTGAAGAGGTAGTGCTTGAAGCTAGAACTATTGAGAGAAATGTTAGTCCTTATAAAAAAGATGAGCATTTTATCAACGGATTACCTAATTACACAGTAGAGATCAGAGAACACATTCAGGTAACTACAATCTTTTCTCTATACTAGCAGATGCAACAATTTATCAGAGAAGGAAAACTGAATTCATTATAGTTTCAACTATTTCTTCTTTTCTAAGATCGGAGAAAGTAAAATTATAAAGCAAGCTGGAACTGCCATAAAAGGTCCCAATGAATTTGTTCAAGAAATAGAATTTGAAAACTTAACACCGGGAAGTGTGATAATATTCAGGTATATGATGATCAACTTACTAAATGTGTGTCAGTTGGCTGCACTAGATTAAAGGCAATGGAGGGGTGGGTTTTTTCAGTCTGTTAGTTCCATTACTTCAAAAAATAGTAGGTGGAGGTGCTAACTTCTACAATTTGTGCATTGATATTTACAGAGTTAGTCTCGACCCAAAGGCACGAGAGGCTGTCGGTGTACTCCGTAATCACCTGATCCAGTTCAGTCCTCATTTTAAATCTGGAAGTCTTCCCGATGACTGTTCAGCACCTATATTAAAAAATCTTTTTTCTTCGTAAGTATGCCTTGTTAGAGTACATACAGTAGAGGGCTGGATTAGAGGCAGAGATCAGTCTGCAAATGCTAACGAGTGACAATTCTTTGCCAAGTTCTCGGTCTGTCTTGGTTAATGTATGAACAACTATGTTTAGCCATCTTATTGCTTTATACAGAAAATAGTGGTTCAGACTTTAAAAACTCCTCACCTCTTTCACATGAGTAGTTCTCAGAGTAGCAGCCGTGTTAGTCTGTATTCGCAAAAAGAAAAGCATCCGATGAAGTGAGCTGTAGCTCATGAAAACTTATGCTCAAATAAATTGGTTAGTCTCTAAGGTGCCACAAGTCCTCCTTTTCTTTTTATGAGTAGTTCTGTGGGTTTGCTACTGGCAGTAGATTTTATGCCAGGAAATTTTACATCCTGCAGCAAGGTGTTCAGATGACTGTTGTCAACATACTATGTAGGTTACCAGTTCCATCTAAATTTCTTTCTTAAAAGAAACTCACATAGCAATCCAAAAACCAGTGGATACTACATTATGCTTTTGTGGAGAAAAGATGTATCACTTTTAGTTGAATAATATTGAAATCTGTGATCATTTACTTAGTATTTTCTGTACTTATCTGCAATGATAAAAAGAGATCTCATGTATAGTTAACATTGTGGAAAAAAATAAGCTAATTTTAAATCTTGTACAAGAAGGGAGGTTTTTTGTTTTTGTTTTTTTCTTTTTAAAGGGAGCCCATAGTTACTCTTAAATCTATTCCATGGTTCCTAAATAAGTGGCCAGATTTTTAAAGTCAGTGATAGCTGCAAGGTACGTGGCACCCTTGAAAATCAGGCCCTGTTTTCAGGAGTCTAAACATGGAGTCTAATCATCCCTTTTTAAAAATAGCTTGGCCTAGACCAAAACCAGAATTCTTCATGAAATTGATGTCCGTTATATAGTTAGTTATCAATGTTGGGGGTTTTTTTTCCCTTTCCCAGTATTGCATCTAAATTAACCTTGGCTGATTTGAATCAAATACTGTATCGGTGTGATGCTGAGGAACAAGAGGATGGTGGAGGATGTTACAACATACCAAACTGGTCGCCCCTTAAATATGCAGGCTTGCAAGGTAACAATTCATGCGTGCTTTTTTGGGTGGAGGGGAAAAAAGGAGAATGGATCATCTCAATCTAGATCTAAAACAGAGGTGGGCAAACTATGGCCCGCGGGCCACATCCAGCCCACGGCACCCTCCTGCCGAGCCCCTGAGCTCCTCCTGGCCCAGGAGGCTAGCCATTGGCCCCTGCCCTGCTGTTTCCCCCTCTCCCGCAGCCTCAGCTCACTGTGCCACCGGCACAATGCTCTGGGCAGCCGGGCAGTGTAGTTGCAGAGCTGCGGCCTGACCCAGTGCAGCGGTAGCACCACCAGCCACCAATGCTCCGGGCAGTGCAGTAAGGGGGCAGGGAGCAGGGGGTGTTGGATAGAGGGCAAGGGAGTTGGGGGGCGGGAGGGGAGTGGTCAGGGGATGGGGGTGTGGATAGGGGTCGGGGCGGTCAGAGGGCAGGGTACAGGGAGGTTGGATGGGGCAAGGGTCCCAGAGGGCAAGTCAGGAATGGGATGGGGGGTTGGATGGAGCAACAGGAGGTATTCAGGGGTGGGGTGGCCAGGGGACTGGGAGCTCGGGGTGGTGGATGGGGTAGGAGTTCTGGGGGGGCCGTCAGGGACTGGGGAGGGGGGGGTTGAATGGGGGCAAGAGACCCCGGGGAGCCGTCGCGGGGCAAGAAGCGGTGGGATCGGATAGGAGGCAGGGGCTGGGCCACACCTGGCTATTTGCGGAGACACAGCCTCCCCTAACCGGCCCTCCATACAATTTTGGAAACCCGATGTGGCCCTCAGGCCAAAAAGCTTGCCCGCCCCGATCTCGAATAGTGTTAGATTTTGTGCACTGTTTGCTCTTCAAATAGAAGAGAACAAGTTGCTTCTGCTTGGTCTATACAGTATGTGCTTGAAAGAGAGTAGCAAGCAAATGGAGGCAAGATACTGAATCAAGAAACATCTCTTAATATTGGGGTAGAGGATGAGTTTAAATATTTAATTTTACATTAAAACTTTGGTCATCTGACCTTTGGGAATACTTTAAAACATGTTTAAATAAGTACACCTCCAGTCACAAATGGCCTTACCTAAAACCCACAAATATTACCTGTTACATGAAGTGTCAGTAATAGCTGTCATTTTAACATCTGAATGCCGTTGTGTGACATATTTTATAATTATCGGAGTTAGATTTTAAACCGTAAAGAAGCATGGGCTCAGTGATTACACAGTATTTGTCTCAAACTTACTGTAGGTCCACTGAGCCATAGCAGGTGGGTTGGGTCCCTTCTCATTGTACAATCAGGCTAGAGCTTTAGCCTTTCTAAAGGCTCTCTAGCCTTTAAAACACACGAAGAAAAATGACATCAGGTTAAAAAATGTATAACTGGTCCAGCTCTGGTTCATAACTTTTCAGATCTGCAGTGTTGGATTTACTCCTGGAAACTGGAATTGCAGGTTGTGATAATCATGTGGCCAGTAATATAGTGTGCTGTTTGTTTTATTTTCAGGATTAATGTCAGTGATGGCAGACATTAGACCAAAGAATGATTTGGGTCATCCTTTTTGTGGTAATTTGAGATCTGGGGATTGGATGATTGACTACGTCAGTGACCGTCTAATTTCACGTTCAGGAGCCTGTGCAGAAGTAAGTAAATCTATTAAGTGTTTGTTATCTATAAGGATGGAACGTTTTGGTCTACTTCACAAACCTTTGCCACTTGAGCACATGGAATAACTAATAGCAGTAGTAGGTTGTCATCCTCTTTATTGACCAGCACTAGAGGGGGGGTGAGAAACACACTCTGCCAGTGGGTTTCACAGATACTCGAGGACCACAGAGGAATGCTGAGCTCCAAGAATTTTGGGTTCCAGTCCAGGCTCTAGAAAAGAGCATGCTCTTGTGGTGACAGCCCCTTCTGCACCACTACAAGATTGACTGACTCGTCCCGATCCCTCCCCCTTCTGACCCATCCCCTCCAATCTTTCCCCATCCTAGTCTTAGTCTCTCTTTGCCTACCCAATCCTAGTCTCCAGCCCTCAGGTTTCTTGTGCCAGTCTATTTCCCCCTGCATTCCCGGCCCTTCATCCAATGTGTCTCTCCTCTGCGCCCCACCACACTGACTCCCAATCCCAGGATTCTCACCCAATTAGGCCCAGTCTCTTTGCTCAGTCAGTTCAGTTCTTTCCTCAAACCCCAGCTCCTTGTCAGATTTGTTTCCCCATTACTCTGACCTTGATCCTCCCCGCAGCTCATTCACCAATCGGAGTTTCCTCTCCCGAATGCTATTTCCCTGACTGGCTCTCGTTGGTGTCCTTGACCAATCAGCCCCCCCCCCCCGGTCACAGTTTCTCTCCTCCCTCCCAGTCTTCAGTCCCAGTTCCACCTGGCTGCTTGTCCCAATCTACTCTTTGCCTTTTCCCCCAGTTCGTTTCTTGTCCCCTCTGCATTTGATTCAGTTAGTGTCTTCCTCTGCCATGTTGCCTGGGCACCAGCAGGGGGATCATAGAAGTGAAGGACTGGAAGAAACCTCAGTAGGTCATCTAGTCCAGTCCCTTGCACTCAAGGCAGGACTACGTAATAACAAGACAATTCCTGACAGTTGTTTGTCTGACCTGTTCTCAAAAACCTCAAATGATGGAGATTCCACAACCTCCCTCGGCAATTTGTGCTTAAGTATACAGACAGGAAGCTTTTTCTAATGTCCAACCTAACCCTCCCTTGCTGCAATTTAAATCCATTGCTTCTTGTCCTATCCTCCAGAGGTTAAGGAGAACAATTTTTCACCGTTTTCCTTGTAACAACCTTTTATGTACTTGAAAACTGTTGTATTCCCCCCCCCCCCCAGTCTTCTCTTCTCTAGACTAAACCCAACTTTTTCAATCTTTCCGCATAGGCGCCAACTTTTCCTGGTGCCGGTGGGTGCTTGCCCCTGCCCTGCCCCTATTGGACTCCTTCCCCAAATTCCCGCCTCGGCCCCGCCTCTTCCCCGAGTGTGCCGTGTTCCCCCTCCTTCCTCCCAGTGCTTATTGCCGCGAAACAACTGGGAGCTAAGGGGAGCAGCAGGGACGTGGCATGCTCAGGGGAGGAGGCAGAGCGGTGGGGGCAGGGTGGGGAGCTGCCGGTGGTTGCAGAGCACCCACCAATTTTTCCCCATGGGTGCTCCAGCTCCAGAGCACCCACGGAGTCGGCGCCTATGCTCATAGGTCATATTTTCTAGACCTTTAATCATTTTTGTTGCTCTTCTCTGGACTTTCTACAGTTTGTCCACATCTTTCCTGAAATGTGGTGCCCAGAACTGGACACAATACTCCATCTGAGGCCTTATCAGCACAGAGTAGAGTGGAAGAATTACTTTTCATGTCCTTGCTTTCAACACTCCTGCTAATACATCCCAGAATGATGATCACTTTTTTTGCAACTGTTATTCCGTTGACTCATATTTAGCTTGTGATCCACTATGACCTCCAGATCCCTTTCCACAGTACTTCATGACTCCCTAGGAAATTCCCATTGTTGTATGTGTGCAATGGATTGTTCCTTCCTAAATGGAGTCCTTTGCATTTGTTATTATTGAATTTTATCCTCTTTACTTCAGACCATTTCTCCAGTTTGTCCAGGTCATTTTGATTTTTAACCCTATCTTCCAAAGCACTTGTAACTCCTCCCAGCTTGGTATCATCCACAAACTTTTTAAGTGTACTCTCTGACATTTATCTAAATAATTTATGAAGATATTGAACAGAACCATAACCAAGACCGATCCCTGCAAAACCCCACTCGATATGCCCTTCCAGCTTGACTGTGAAACACTGATGACTGCTCTCTGGAAATGGTTTTCTAACCAGTTATGTGCCCACCTTATAGTAGCTCCATCTAGGTTATATTTTCCTAGTTTCTTTATGAGCAGATCATGCAAGATAATGTCAAAAGCCTTACGAAAGTCAAGATATGCCACATCTATCGCTTCCCCCCCCCATACATATGGCTTGTTACTCTACCAAAGAAAGTCATTGGGTTGGTATGACTGGATTTGTTCTTGACAACTCCATGTTAACTTACTTATCGCCTTATTATCTTCTAGGTGTTTACAAATTGGTTGATTATTTGCTTTATAATCTTTCTGGATACTGAAGTTAAACTGATTTCATTGAGAGCACTGGAGAGAGAAACTTCCTTCTTTTGGTTCTAGTGCCCTGACCTGAACCAGAGCAGCAATTACAAGGAAAGTGAACCTCTCTACACCTGCTGTGGAACATTCTCAGTCACTCTACGAGCTGATGAATGCGCAGTTTGGTCAGTACTAGGACCTGTGAGGGGCCAGGGCATGCCTCATTGAGGATGCACTGCTAAATTCTTAGTTTCTAGTGAGCATGTGCAAACTGAGATTTTTTTTTTTTTTTTAGAGGCTTATAACTTGGCCAAATTTGGGCAGTTTTTCACAGGAACAGCAAAGGGCACATCCCTGACAGAAAGGCCACTCCCTGCCAAATTTCACATCCCTGCTCCAAAGCACAGAGTCTCTAAAGTCTCAAATAAAAGGTGTCCAAATTTTTTTTTAAAAAAAAAACATTACAAAACAACATTTTTTCCTAGCCTCAGTCTTTGAAACAGCTGAACCATTTTGGCTGAAACTTTCAAAAAAATATTTCTTTCTGAGGAAGACCTGTGGCATTGAAAACTTCAGTGTGAATGGTTAAAGTGTGGCAAAATTACAAGCAACTGAAAGTAGGATGTATAACGGGAAGTTTCTGCCAACTGGAATAGGTGGTGCTACCAATCCTGCCTATAATACAAAAAAATATAATAGGGGCCTAAAAAGTGTAGGGAAACTGTAACAGGAATTCTACCCATTTTCCAGTGCAAAATGCGATTGCCAAAGTATTAATTCCCTGAAAGTAGCCTTTCCTGCATTTAGGAGTTGTTAACTTACAAAAATGTTATTCTAATAGGTCGGTAAATGGTTGAAGGCCATATTTGTCTACCTAAAGCAGATTCCACGTTACCTTATCCCATGTTACTTTGATGCCATATTAGTGGGTGCATACACAACTCTTCTAGATCTGGCATGGAGTCAAATGTCTAGGTATGTCTAATAGTGTTGAAAGAAATGTATGTGTATGTTTACGTTATGTTGTATTATCATTTGTGCATTAGGATAGTCATTTATACACTTTACATATGCTTAAAAGGCACTAAAAGTTTTCTGGCCAAATTTTGTCTTCCTTGAAACTGCAACAATCTGATTAATAAGGAGAGCACCTTTTATTGTATTCTAATCTTCCAGTCCATTGCAAATGTTAAATGCACAAATGCAGTGTCTTCTGTTAGGTCTATCTCAGCTGCCTAACACAATTCCTAAACTATATGGCTGCCTGCATAACAGTACTGATGTACAAGAAGATACACTGGCATAAGGCAAAAATATTCATGTTGGCCAATGGAAAAGCATAAAGCTGATAGAAGGTGCATATAGTTTTCGCTAAGGGAAAATTATAAACATTAGACTAGAAGGTCAAGAATTTATTATTGCTACAAGACTTGGATTTACAGCTAATGCTGGCAGTGCAGTAATGGGGAATGAGACATTAAACCAGGGTCCGTCTTCCAGTCTTCGAAGGCTGCCTTCATTTTTTTGTAATTGTCCCTTTTCTCGTTTTTTGTTCCTATTCTTGTTTTAAACATGGCTAATATTACTTTCCTTTAAAAATAGATATCAAAACTGTGCCAACATGGACAAGGTATCTGATAATGGTGTTTTTTGGGTTGGGGGAGGAGGTAGTTTGTTGTACTAGTCCAGCATGTAGACCCAGGCACAAATTAATAAAAATCATTTAATGCATCATCTTTTTAAATATAGTAATTGAATTTTAAAATACTTGTGCAGAGCTGAGATTTTTCTTTGCTTTGAGATCAACTAGGTAATAAAATACCCGAATGTTTTATCGTCTCCTTTCAATATAAATCATTTTTAAAAAATTAATATAAAAGTAAAGGCCATGATTTGGAAGGGAAGAAAAAAAGGGGGAGGGGAGAACCTGAAATTAGGTGCTTAAATTTAATCTTTAGGCACCTAAATAAATGGCCTGATTTTTAAGTGCTATGAACTCAGCAGCTCCCATTGGCATTAATAATTTGACTTAATCTTAGGAACTCACTTTTGAAAATCATTACAGTATTTTGCAACTGAAGCACCCTTATGAAGCTGGTTTTTAAACTATGGCAAGGGGGGAAATGGGTAAACTTTAAACAATGAAGTTGTTGAATTTGAAATTTTTTTTTCTCAATTCAACTACTTTGATTACAGCTTTGTTCAGAATGGATCAACATTTGTTAAACACCTGTCCTTGGGATCAGTTCAGATGTGTGGGATAGGAAAATATCCTTCTCTGCCAAATCTGTCTCCTGCTTTACATGATGTTCCCTATAGGATGAATGAAATCACAAAAGAGACAGAACAGTGCTGTGTTTCCTTAGCAGCTGGTAAGTAAGGGCTCATTTGATGATTGTTGAAGCAGGTTGTCTTACAAAACCATGCAACTACTTAGAAATGTGTAGACAGCAAGATCAATGTGCCAGGACTGTGATATTTAGAGACCAAATAAAAAATACTGTTTCTTTGGTCAGTAGCTGTTTACTTCACCCTTCCACTGTCTTATTCTGCTCTATTTAATGGGAAGGTTTTGTTTGTGTCTGAGAGAAGCATAACCAGGCAATGTTTCTGCTATTGCTGTAAAAGGAAGACTTGTGAAGAATTTCACTTTTGCTATATCTTGAACTATAAGCAACCTGAGCTACTCTGTCATATTCTGAGACCTTTTGAGCTTCAGAATTATGTTATCTCTTTCCCTGTAACTCTTCAGTAATTGAAATACATTGTGGAACACTTCCCGCAAGACTTTTGGTTTATCACTTTAACTATGTTTTTGTTTTCCTCAACTATCCCCTCTTGAACTTTTTTTAACCTCTATTGAACTAAAAACATTCTCACCAATTTGTTTGCTTTTGTTATTTAAAAAATTGCCACACTTGATCTTGACTTCAAATGGTCACTAATTCCACCAAATATCTAGAGAACTTTTCCCCAGCTGAACATGAAATAAAAATGGAAACTCTTGGTAAAATAGCTTCTTAAATTTTCATGCAGAAATTGCAGGTCTGTGACAAAAATAAATTAGAACTTGAGCATGGCAGAATCCAGCATTCAGCTCCAGAAAACTCATTCAACAAGACAGTAACCCTTGTTTTAGGAGAAGATAGTAATTATGTAGCTTCCAAACTAATTAGGTTAGTTAACTGCATAGAAAGTAATTGAGAGAGGGGGCCTGGGTTGAATGGCAGAGGCAGATTGTTTAGTGCAGTTTCTCCTAAATTGAGATTAACTGTTTCTGGTTTTGGATCACTCTTTGCTGCAGTTATAAGCAGTCTTTAAAAATATATGTGTTCAGAAGAATAAAGCATAGAATAGTATGTGAGATTTTTTTGAATGAACTTAACTTGCAAATTTCTAGATATATTTGTCTGCCTAGTATATTTTAGAATCTGTCTAAAATCTGAATCGTTTCTAAATATAAAGACAGTTCTTCTGGGAAATATTTTTGCCTTTGTTTCTTTCAATAAAAGTTTCACCTCTGTTATAAAAGTGTTTTGGATTATTTTTTTACATCTCTGCATTTTATAGGTTTTAAATCTTATTGAAATGGGTTTTTCTTCCTTCTAGAAAGACAAGTAATGAAAGATTTTTTTTTCTAATTAAGTAAAACAAAAGTATGAACATTATACTTTTCAGGTTGCAGTGGGGGAGGTTTAGATTGGATATTAGGAAAAACTTTTTCACTAAGAGGGTGGTGAAACACTGGAATGCCTTACCTAGGGAGGTGGTAGAATCTCCTTCCTTAGAGGTTTTTAAGGTCAGGCTTGACAAAGCCCTGGCTGGGATGATTTAACTGGGAATTGGTCCTGCTTCGAGCAGGGGGTTGGACTAGATGACCTTCTGGGGTCCCTTCCAACCCTGATATTCTATGATTCTATACTTTTAAGACTTAAAATGCTTTGTTTCTATCAAAAATATATTCAGAACTTTGTATCCTGCTTCATGCTGACCATAATTCTGTAGCAAGCTCCCATGATTTCTGTGGCAAACAATCCCTGAATTGTTAGGTGAACTGAAAATTCCACGTCAGCATGATTCTACCCAAGTATTCTTTCATTCGCTTTTGAAATGCGGGGGCTCTAGGTGCATGCAGCAAAGGGAACATTTTTCCCCACCTCCAGCATCTAGTAGGACAGTTGTAGAAAGCATGGGACTCTGCATGTAATGAAATTATACATAGCGTATATTTTTGTAATGTTCTACAGGTGAACTTTCTTTAAAGAATTTTTGATCCTGAGTAGTTTACACACACATTTAAAGTGCATTTTTAGAAAGTGAGCACATGCTGCACAGTGTATACTGTGTGTCATAAATAAGGCTACGTTTTAGTCATGGGTATTTTTAGTAAAAGTCATGGACAGGTCATGGGCAGTAAACAAAAATTCATGGCCCATGACCTGTCCATGACTTTTATTATATACCCCTAACTAAAACTTGGACGGAGGGCTGTGGGTGCCCTCTGGGAGGGGTGGTCTGGGGGCGATGCGAGGCTGGCAGGGGCTCCCTACCCCGTGTGTCTCTGCAGTTCCGTGGTGGCAGAGGGGCCAGGGAATCCATGCGCTGCTTCCGCCACAAGCACTGGCTGCGTAGCTCCCACTGGCCAGGAACCGCAGCCAGTGGGTGTTGCAGGGAAGAGGCCTGCAGGCATGGGCAGCGCCTGGAGCCCCTTGGTCCCTCCGCCTAGGAGTGGCAGGATCATGCCAGTGGGAGCTGGGGAGCCCCACTCCTCCCCAAGGCTAGGGGAAGCACCCCCCATGCATCCCCTAGCCTTGAGCCCTCTCCCCCACACCTTGGGCCAGCAGCAGCAGTTTGGGGGGTGGGTGTGAGTTTGTGTGTGTACATGTGTAGAATCTTCATATTAAACAGTCTAATGACTTAGTTCATCACGTTTACTCTTTAGGTTTACCACATTTTTCATCTGGCATTTTCCGCTGCTGGGGAAGGGATACCTTTATTGCACTGAGAGGTCTAATGTTGCTTACTGGGCGTTATTTAGAAGCAAGGTAAGAAAGAATGTATAAGTATTAATCCATCTTGAAAGGTTTCTCCCTTTCTATGTATAACTGGAAGAAGGAGGTCCTTTTTTTCCGAAACAATTAAAATGCTCTCTTATTTACTGTGGCCCCAGGCCATTTTTGAATTCTCATCAGATAGAACTACAAAATTACTTATCATGTATCTCAGTTGTTTTAAATGTTGTTGTGAAGCACATATTCCATTTTTTATATGCATAACTTTTTTCTCCAGCACATTATAGTGCTCATACTAAGTTTGAATGAAATGTGTCTGCTATAGATTTTTATTTCAATATAAAATACTTTTTATCAGTATTGGAGAGCAGTAGGTTTGAGAATCTCTTTGCAATCACATTTGAGGTGTGGGGAGGTGTATGTTGTGTTTTGTGATGACCACTAATATAGCTATCAAAGCTGGAAGTCAGTGGTTTGTGGATCATTGCAAACTAAATTTTGTGTGTGATGTAAGTCTAAAACCTAACAAATAAACATAAGAAGTTTGTGTAAGATTTGCGGGCATGCCCTTTCCACTAGTCAATTTTAATTTTTTTGCCATGAAATGTTGGTGCTGAAGTGAGCTGAAAATGAAAGTATGGATTTCTCAAATTTAACTCATTCTTAGTGAAAACTTGTGTATGTATTTACTTTATATTTGCATAACCAAAAATCAATGAAAGGGTCAAGTAACTACTGGCCTCACCCTGCAGCCCTTTCTTAAACCCTGTTCTTACAAAGGGATCCACAGTCTGCTAGTATGGTCCCTTATACCAGCCTGTAGTTCCTCTTAAAGACAATAGGATTCCTATGATGACATTCAGTACTACAGACCCTTACATTACTGGATTATGCCTTTTAGGTAAAACTCCCACTAAAGTCAGTGGTGGTTTTGCCTGATGTAAGGAGCCTGAGACTGATCCCTGTAAAGAGAAATTCTCTCATATATATGAAATTCTCTTCGCCCATTGCCTCCTTTTCCTTTTTGAAAGGATCAGAAGACAAAACCACTTGAGAGTGTCACACACAGGATGAGGCATTCTTTTTGAACTTTGCAAAGGAACTTGGTTTTATTCAGTTATGAGATTCCTAATCTATTGTGTTTTTTTACAAATACAGGAAAAATGTGTTTTAGGATCAAGCACTCAATATTAACTTTAAAGTAGATCTAAAATGCGGCTGAAATGTTAAGCATTCCAAAACACAGTTCTGTTTAGAACTCTTTGCTATATAATGGAGGTATTGAGTTCTGCTAGTATCTCTTTTTTTTTTTTAAAGGAATGTGGTTGAACATTGAGGACCAGACCTTGAGGTCTTTACTCAGTTTTTACTCCATCAAATGCCTGTTGACTGACTGACAATAACAATAGTGTAAAAACTGGGTAAAACTTCAGGTCCTTAGATAATATACATATTTTGGTTGTAATTCATATTTTTGTAAATTATCATCAAATAAGGAATGCATGTAAGAATGAACATGCATATGTCACTCTTGAAGCCTATTGCCTGGCTACTAGGGCCTGATCCAAACCTATTGAAGTCGCTGGGAGTCTCTGCATTGATTTCAATGGACTTTGGATCAGGACATTACTTTCACAACATGTTGAAAGTAAAGCAACTTTTCTATATTGACACAAATGTCTCATTACCTTTTCTGCAAAAAAAAAAAAAAAAAAGGAAGAAAGAAAGAAAAAGAAAAGGTTGAGCATATATTTTAAATATATCCTTCCACATTTGCAGTGGTCGGCATTACTGAGTATGTGGGGGCTTATTTTTTAAAAAGCTTGTATTATGTGTAATCACCTTTTGTACCATGAAACACCAGAATATTGCCATTTGCCATTCAATCCTAATTTGTTCCCCAACATATCTTGGTATAAAAATATATTGTATTTTTTAGTTTACTACTTGGAACTTTCAGTACCTTGAAAACCAATTCAGTGTGTATCGGATTTTTTTATTTTATTTTTTTTAAAGGAACATAATTTTAGCATTTGCTAGTACCCTGAGACATGGTCTTATTCCCAATCTGCTTGGCCAAGGGACCCATGCGAGATTCAATTGCCGTGATGCTGTGTGGTGGTGGCTTCAATGTATACAGGATTACTGTAAAATTGTTCCAAATGGCACAGACATTCTCAAGTGTCCCGTTTCCAGAATGTATACTACAGATGACTCTCCCGCTCAGCCTGCAGGCACACTGGTAAAGATCATTTCTAATAAACTATTTATATACTACAAACATAATTGTAAGTAAATGAAATCCTAAAAAACCAAAAGAATCCCTGTTCGGCATGTTGTTCTCCTACTTAAAGAAATGTTTTTGCAGAGGTCAGCTTTTACTGGGGACAGCATTTGTAGTATTTTCAGGGGCCATGTTTGCTTATTAATGGAGGGCTTCATGGAAGATTTTATAGCTGTAAAATCTTCCAGCTGTCATTTATGGTGGAATGTGCAGTAAAACAGGGATGTTCCGCTTTTTGGTTGTTTGCCAAACAGTTGGATGACTCCTATCAAGCACACGTTGGATGGTGGAGAATAAAATTTTTTGAAACAAGGGGAAAAAATGTTACCAGTTTTATTTCTAGCTTTCTCCATTTTTTTTTTCAACATTTGAAATTTCAGATTTAAAAAAAAAGAATTGGCCAACTCTAATTGACTGGATTCCTGTTGGATTTCATATAAAGTATAGTAATCTGAAAAGTTGAAGTACTCGGTATCTGGATATTTCATACAACCTTTGTCTTTCTCCCTTGTCACACAAACAAACAAACCAGGATCAGCCACTGTATGAAGTAATACAGGAAGCTATGCAACAACACATGCAAGGCATAGAATTCCGAGAAAGGAATGCTGGTCCACAGTTAGATCGAAATATGAGGGATGAAGGTAAATAACATGAGTTACTTAACTTGCTCATATATAGATCACTTATAGTGAAGTTCAAATGTGAGTAAAATTGTTGTACAGATTTTTTTTAGTTAAACTAATTTCTGCAAAACTTTTTACATGTAGTGCCTCTAACAATGTAATGTTTATAAATATACATATGTTAACACTTTAATTTCAGCTATTCTAACATGAGTACTGTGTAAATAATATCACATCCATAACAAAAGCATTCGTGGTGGTTCTAGGAAGACCTTCACCTTTTTCTTTCTGTGGTTCTTTAGAAACAAGCTGACTTCATTCTGATTTTCTTGCTGGGTAGGTTTTAATGTGACTGCGGGTGTCGACCATGAAACTGGTTTTGTCTTTGGAGGGAACCGCTTTAATTGTGGCACATGGATGGATAAAATGGGAGAAAGTGATAGAGCTCGCAACAAAGGAATTCCAGCTACTCCAAGGTACAAACTTTAAGTGTATTATGTAACTTTAGAATAAGTCAAAGTTTAGTCTCTTGCATAGTGAGATCCTTGCTCTTGGTGTCTGTGCCACCAGTAATAAAACATGAAGAGTGAAATATTCTGAACTCTTCCGAATTCTATTTGACTATTATAAAACATTAACAGAAACCTTCTGTGTACAATGCAGATTCAGAGGAAAAGATCATTGCAAAACATATCTGTTGACATACTCAGTTCAATATGCTATTCAAATATAATAACTCTTCGTCTGATGTAAATTACACTGCTGTAGCACTAAATAATTTAAAAAGTTAACTGATTAGATGCTGTTGAGAAAATACCCAGTAATATTCTCTGTTGATGCGTGTTGTGGGATTTGAGTACTACCATATGTAAAACTTGAAATATTTGCAAAGGTTTCTTTCTTATCCTCCTTCCCTAATGCTAACATTAAAATGTTGTCAGTGAAAGCTCTGTATTCTGCTGACATCTATTCAATTTTAGATAGATGAAACATTTTTTTAAAAAAATGTTACTATATGCCTGTAAACTGGTGCAGGCTCTCTGGCTTTGACCCAGGACAGGAGAAATAAGTTGGTTGCTCAGATCAGATCAGTTTCAGTTGTGAGAGTGAATCCAAAGGAAAGGCATTTGAACTATTATTGCAAAGCTTTCAGTGTCTTTCTACAAAATTGAATACCATGTCTGTTTGGTGGTTCTTTGAGTGCTTGCTCATGTCCATTACGTTGTCGGTGTGTGTGCTCGCCACATGCACTGGTGCCAGAAATTTTTCCCTCTGTAGGATCCGTGGGGGACTGGCTCTGGCGCTCTCTGGAGTGGCATGCGTATGCCTCGGTATAAGGAGTGCCACTGGCTCCCCACTCCCTCAGTTCCTTCTTACTGCCAGTGACTGTGCTGGAATGTCTCCTTGCTTTGGCAAGATTTCCTGTCTCTACTGTATCTAGTAGTGAATTTGTTGTATATAGTTTATAGTTTAATAATTCCCTTAGCATTAAGTTAGAAATTAGTTGCATGAGGGACTCAGCCTAGGGACGGGGCATGCCCCGGTCCCCAGGCTTCAAACCTTGTGACTGTTGCAAAAAGCCCATGATCCCCATAGAAGCTGCCTAAAGTGTTTAGGGGAAACCCACGTGAGCGACAAGTGTCGCATTTGCAAGATCTTCAGGCCATGGACCAAAAAGGAGTGGGACGTTTGTCTCCGAGTGCTCCTTACGGAGTCGGCCCTCGCACTGTCCTCAGAGCTGATGAGACTGGACTCTGCTGCAAGCACTGCGGCCTCTGTGCAGAACGCCCTACTGGCACTGACCTCTGACTGGCACCAGTCCCCATCCTCAGTACCAGCTAAAAAGCAAAGAAAGGCCGGGAGAGGGTGTTCTCCTATGTCCCGTAAAGGGAAGGAGAGAGATGGAAGAAAGCAAAGACCTGTGCGGGGCAGCTCTTCACCTCCGGACAGTGACCAGGCTCGGACTCCCACAGAGCTGTCGAGCCCACTTCAAGACCCGCCCCCTCACCCTGGGAAGCGGCAGAGGCACTTGGCACCTGGCAGTGCCGTCTACACTGGAGGCCTTTCAGGCCACTAAGGACATCTGTCCCTTCCGGTGCTGGCCACTCCGGCCACTGAGGTGCCCCATTCAAGGGGTAAACCTGTCTTGGGACCCTTTCAGTTGTCTCCATCACTGCAGCACCATTCCTCACTGCAGGGGGTACCCTGCCGGCACTCACCTGAACAGTGCCACCAGCCCCCAGACGTGGGTCAGCTCACCTGCATAACAAGCAGGCATTTTGAGGATGTGTTCGAGGGTGACCTTCCAGCCTGTGGCGCGGATTCTGCTCCCCTGTAATTTCCCGTTTGTCACCCTTCCTCCCTGCCTGAGCCACTATAACATCGGACCAGTGGGTCCTCAGCACAGTGTCAGGGGAATATACCCTCCGGTCTATTTCTATCCCACCTTTCCTCCCCTTCCTTCTTCAGGGACCCTTCTCATGAGCATCTGCTCGCTCAAGAGGTGCAGGGCCTTCTGCAGGTGGGAGCCATGGAGAAAGTCCCTGTGCATTTGAGGGGGAAACAGTTTTAGTCCCGCTATTTTTTTTATCCCAAGAGCCAAGCGTGGGGGGGGGGGGGGTTTACACCCATCGTTGACCTGTGGAGCCTCAATAAGTATCTTAAGAAACTGAAGTTTCACATAGTTTCCTTGGTCTCTGTCATTCCTTCCCTGGATCTGGGAGACTGGTATACTGCCCTCGACCTGAAAGACACTTACTTTCACACACCAATATTTCACAGAGAGAGATGGTGCCTATGTTTCATAGTTGGGACTGCCCACTACCGATTTGCACTCCTCCCTTTTGGCCTTGCAGCGGTGCCGAGGATGTTTATGAAATGCATGCTAGTGGTGTAGCTTCTAAGGTAGGTCTCCACCAGACACCAGGGTATCCATATTTACCTGTACCTCGACAGCTGGCTCTTCAAGGGCTGCTCCAGGGTCTGGGTCCAGAGCAGCATCGAGACATTGCTTTTCAGGCTCTCGGCCTGTTGATAAACAAAAATCAACATTGATCCTGGTCCAACGGATAGATTTTATCAGAGCGGTGCTTGACTCTATCTGAGCCAGAGCATTCCTGCCAGACACCAGGTTAAGGGCAATACCAGATCTGATTTGCCAGCATCACCGCCCATCCACTCACCACGGTCAAGGTGTGGCTTATACTATTGGGGTACATGGCAGCATGCACCTACGTCGTCTGACCTGCGAGACTCGGGCTGCGTCCCATCCAGTTGTGGCTGGCATTGGTCTACTCCCTAGCCAGACATCACCTAGACAAGGTCATCATGATCCCCCTGGGAGGACTTACCTCTCTGTTTCTCAGGTGATCCGACCCAATTTTTGTGTTGGAAGGTGTGCTGTTCGTGACCCCGCGACCCATGGTCTCCCTGATTTCAGATGCATCCAACCTCAGTTGCGGAGCGCATCTCAGTACACTGCGGATTCAAAGGTTATGGGAGCTCAGAGCCATCTGCCTGACTTGCGGTGTCTTCCTTCCCTAGTTGTCCAGTTGAGTGGTGCAGGTGTTGACAGACAACACGGCATCTAAGTTCTATGTCAACAGGTGGAGGGAGCTCGATTTGTCGGCTCTGTGCCAGGAGGCCCTCCATCTGTGGGACTTCTGTATCCAGTGGGCAATCCAACTGGAAGCCACCTTCCCGGCATCCGGAACGTTCTGGCAGATCACCTCAGCAGGTCCTTCTTCTCTCGCCATGAGTGGTCCCTTCACTCAGAAGTCGTCAGAATACTCTTTCAGAAGTGGGGAGCTCCCGAGTGGATCTCTTTGCCACTAGACAGAACAGAAAGCGTCATGAGTTTGTTCTCCAAGGCCTCAGCAGAGGCTCACTATCCGATGCCTTTCTCCTGTCTTGGTCAGATGTTGGAGACCTGATGTTCATCTTCCTACCACTTCCAATCATCAGCAAAGTTCTCTTGAAAATCAAGATGGACAAGGCACGAGTCATTATGATCGCCCCAGCATGACTTCACCAGCATTGGTTCTGCATGCTCATGGACCTGTCCGTTGCAGCCCTGTGGCCGCTTCCCAGCCGCCCGGACCTACTCTTGCAGGATCACTGTCGACTCCTGCACCCAAACCTCACGTCTCACCACCTTACAGCTTGGATGCTGCATGGCTGAATCCAGAGGAACAAGCTTGCTCTAGTCAGGTACAGCAGGTTTTTTTGGAGAGTAGAAAGCCTTTCACCAGAACAACTTACCTGGCGAAGTGGAAGCATTTCTCCTGCTGGGCATTGGAGTGGAATATCTCCCCGACCCAGTCATCTCTGCAGTCCATCCTGGATTACATGCTTCACTTAAAGTATCGGGGTCTCTCGTCTTCTCTTTGATCAAGGTGCACCTGGCAGCCTTATCGGCCTTCCATCATCACATCCATGATAGATCAGTGTTCTTGCATGAGATGTCTATCAGGTTCCTGAAAGGCCTTGGAAGACTTTCTGCCGATCTGGGACCCAGTTCCCCAATGGGACCGTGACCTGGTCCTCTCCAGGCTCACAGGTCCACCCTTTGAGCCTATGGCTTCTTGTTCCCTTTCTCATTTGTTGTGGAAGGTTGCATTCCTTGTAGCTATTACCTCGGCGAGACATGTCTCTGAAATTAAAGCCCTCACTTTGGAGCCCCCATTCACGGTATTCTACAAGGACAAGGTCCAGCTGTGGCCCCATCCGGCCTTGCTGCCAAAGGTGTTGCCACACTTCCATGTCAACCAGGATATTTTCCTTCCCGTGTTCTGTCTAAAGCCTCACAGGACCAATGAAGAGAGGTGACTACACCACTCTAGATGTCAGGCGCACCCTGGCTTTCTACCTGGAGCGCATCAAACCCTTCCACAGATCGACCCTTGCTGAGTTATATGGATGCCATTTGAGTAGCTCTCTTCTTCCCAGAGAATCATGTTGGACATTTTGTTTATCATCTTCAGGCCTGTGTGATGAGACTATTGCCCTTCCCATCCCACCTTATTTTAATATGTACATGAGGCCACTAGGAGAGAACCGTAAGTGATATGATGCTGTCACTATTTGGATGACTGGCAACTAAATCTCCTTTTTGCCCACAATAGTCACTTGTGTTTCTAGTTTCTTGGCAGAAATTGAAAATTGAAGTATTCAATCAGAGCAAGTTGGGTTGGGCTCATCACAGATGCTGGGAGGTAATGGAAAGTGTTTGGGGAGGGCATCAGGAAAGGTGTCTGCCTCTGTGTATGGATTTGTCAAGAAGTTTCACTTTCTAGAGCATCAAATGTGATTTTTAAACTGACAGTAATGTGTTCTTTTTTTTAGAGGTCTGAATACATTCACGGGGGGGGAAAAATCCTCAAATGTTGGTATCTGCATAAAAAGTCTGTGACCTAATATCTTCCTTTAAGTTTCTTCTTAAAAGCAGCAGCTGTTCTTTTTTCATCTTAGAGATGGATCTGCTGTGGAAATTGTTGGCCTATGTAAGTCAACTATTCGTTGGCTGCTGGAGTTGTCAAAGAAAAAAGTGTTTCCTTATCAGGGAGTCACCATAAAAAGGCATGGTAAGCTGGTTTATCTCACAAATGTGTGATCAGTGTAGAACCATGATAATTGAATCAGTGGATCAGGATCAATATTGTCTTGCAATCTGTCTACCTTGTGAACATTTTAATAAATATTATGTTTGGGGAATGGGTGTTCATAAAATTCAGGATAAGGCTAATTGTTGTTTTGTATCTAAGTAGCAAAATCTGTGCAAAGCCCAAAAAACACACTTTTTTGTAGAGTATCTAACTAAACCTCACTTGCCCAGCTTTGCACTTCTGTGGGGTATTGATATGGCTATGAATTCACTTGTTTGTTTGAGCTGATTATGACAGGAGTTATAAGACCTCTTAACCCTTAAGTGAAAGATTAATTTTTAGTTTTGTACTGTATCGTCGTCTTATGATGATTTCTGGGGAGAATTCAGTACATATTACTGAGATTGAATATATAAGCTGTTTAAAATCTCTTAACCTTGGGAAGCAACTGTGTTAACTGTTCCTTTATGCAGTACTATACCCCAGCCCCAAACCCAGTCCCAGACCTGCCATGGCCGGGGGAGAGGCGTCCCTCTCCTGGCCCCAACCCAGCCCTGGACCTGCTATAGCAGCAGGACAGGTGCCCCAGACCTGCAATGGCCGGGGGAGAGGTGCTCCAGACCTGTCACGGGTGGGGGAGAGGCACCTCTCCCCCATCAGCCTAGTTGCTGCTATGGGGAGAGAGAGCTAGGGGAAATCCTCTCTCTCCGCTGTAGCCCCAGGACAGCCTCCATGTCAAGCCCCTCATCTCCGGCACCACCTCAGAGCCTGTAGCCACAGCCCTCACCCCCACACCTCAACCCTCTGCTCCAGCCCTGAGCCCCCTCCCACACTCCAAACCCCTCAGCTCCACTCCCACCACATGAATTTTGTTATGTGCACCAATATGAAGGTGATGTGTCACCCATCACCTCCATATTGGTGCAAATAACAAAAGTCATTCCGCACATGCGTAAGGAAAAATTAGAGGAAACACTGGTTACATTCCTATGTCCACCCAAAGACTTGTGCCTCCATTTTGTATTTATTTTTGGAATGGCTCTTAGATACGCAGTGTTTTTGCAAATGATTATATGTAGTACATGTAGAAAAAGATCAGCTGTTAAGTGGGATTGTACAGGTTTAAGTCAGTACAGAATTTAAATCATAACATTTGATTTCTAATGTTAGTGTTTTATATACACTTTTTTAAGAGACTCTAAAAATGATAGTGCAATTAGATATTTGTTTAATACATTGCTTAAAGGAAGAAAAGTCCTAGCTTTTGGCAGATACAGCAAAAAGCAAGCTGGTTTGTTCAGCAACAAGGGGAACAGAAAATAAATGGCTATCGATGTCCCAAAAGCAACCAGAGTAGATAGGGTAACACTAGAAGTAAGTCATTTTATATGTCTAGGGAGTAAGAAGTCCAGTGATGGTGGCACCATGCTAGATGTCAAGTACTGAATATTAAGAGCAGAAGGCAACTTTAATAAACTTTTGAAAAGATTTGGAAAAGTAGTATGATTGCCACTAACAGAAAAATACAAATGTTTAATGCTGGCTTCATGTCTGTCCTCCTTTATGGAGCAGAGTCATGGAAATCTACAATAGAAATTGATAAGATCAACTCCTTTTGCAGACATTTACTTTAGTATATCTTCAGAGTTCAGTGAAAAGAGTTTCTTGCAACACTGAATTTGTTTTCCTTAGAATTTCTAATGTAAAGTATCAGACGTGGTAAGAAGACAATGATGGGGATATTTAGGAAACGCTTTAAGGATGTCACCAACACAACTTCCATGTCAAGTGATAATATGGACACTATCTGGAAAGAGAAGAGGGCAACTTAGAGAAATGTTACATGGAACAATGGAGAGAGAAGCCAAATCCATCAACGTGACTCTCAGAAGCCTGAATAGGCCAATGAAGATTAAATTAAATGGCGGAAACTGGTGGATGCCCTATGCACCTAAGATAGCAGGAGGATAAAGAAAAGATATTTCAAGGAGAACAGTGAAGTGGCTTTACAGATGATTACAGGGAGCTCCTCGCAAGCATAAAGAGCAGCATGGGAGAAAGCATAAAAATACTTCTTTGAAAATTTTCTATAATTTCAGAGTTATCTGCCAATGATGGTGTTTCAGTCACATTATGTATGTCACATAGCCACAATATATGACCTGCAGCAAAAAGGAGAAAAAATCTCCATCATCCAGAAACAACCATAGATAAGTTTGTGATAAGAACCAGCAGATTACAAAAAGAGGTAATTGATGAAAAAATTGCCCAGTTTGTTTATGCAACAAACTCTCCTTTCCGTATGATTGAGAATCCACACTTCGTTAACATGGTTCAGTCATTCAGACCAGGATACAGTCCACCCAACAGAGCAGATGTCACAGGCAAATTGCTGGATGAAGTGTATGAAAGAGAAATTTGAGCAGTGTGCAAAAGGTCTAGAGGGTAAAATTTGTTAACCTGAGTCTTGATGTGTGGAGCAATGTCCACAATGATACTTTTGTATGTGCTTGTGTGACAACAGAATAAGGGAATGTCTTCCTTTCAGAAACAATTGATACATCAGGAAATGCACACACAGCAGAATACTTAAAAGAAGTAGCAGTAAAAGCTATAACAAACTGTGTGTGTGTGGGGGGGAAATCAAATGTCTAGTACGCGCTTGGTCACAGACAATGCTGCAAATGTATCCCAGATGAGAAGAAATTATTTAGAAGAGAGTGAAGAGAGTCCCAAGCTAATAACATACGGTTGCAGTGCTCATTTGATGCACCTCCTAGCCAAAGTCTTCAGTGTTCCAGAAATAGAGGTGAATGTTGCTGAAATTGCAAAATACTTTGCAGCAGCTGCTCTGAAAAAAGTGGAAGGAACCAAGCTAACTCTCCCACAAGACGTGTGATGGAACTCAGTAGTGGACTGTTTTGAGCACTATATCAAGAACTGGCCTAATCTGATGACAGTTTGAGAACAAAATCGTGAAAAAATAGATGGCACTGTCACAGCCAAAATTCTCAACATTGGGCTTAAGAGAAAAACACATGCTGAGTACCCTGAAGCCTGTTTCTGTAGCCTTGAACACAATGCAGGGAAATAGCTGTTTTATTGCTGATGCTGTTGAAATTTGGAAGGAACCGCGTGAGATCTTAAAAAGAGAAATATGCAATGATAGAGTTAAATTACAAGCATTAAAAAAATGAATGGGACAAGCACTATCTGCAGCTCATTTTCTTGCAAATAGTCTCAGTACTCGGTACCAGGGTCAAACCTTAGCTGCTGAAGAAGAGGAGTTGGCTATAATATGGACATCCAGCAATCATCCCTCCATAATGCCAACTATAATAATCTTCAGAGCTAACGGTGAACCATTCAAGAAATATGTGTTTGCTGATGATGTTTTAAAGAAAGTCACACCAGTGAACTGGTGGAAGTCACTTAAGCACTTGGATTCAGAGACTGTTGAAGTGATGATCTCACTTTTAACAGCAGTAGCTTCTTCTGCCAGTGTAGAAAGAATATTTTCTTCCTTTGGACTACTTCATTCCAAATTGAGAAAACGTTTGGGACCTGAAAAAGTAGGAAAACTTGTTTTTCTTTTCCAGATTATGAACAAACAGGAAAATGAAGGTGAAGATGACCTAGTTAGCTGCAGAAGCCAATATTTTAAGTTTCTCATGTTGACCTGGCTGACAGTCGATTTTAATTTTTTTTTAAACATTTTAAACTAGTTTTAGTTAAAAACAATTTTAACAAAAACAAACCTGATTTTAAAAAACTTGAATGTTTAACTAAATTCAAAAATTCACATGCTTCTTTTGTTAAAATATGTTTGCTGTTGAAGAAAAAAAATCTAGACCTACATAACATTGTTGTTTTAATTTAAATAAAACAATTTAAATGTCTGGTGATGTTCTCCTCCTAATACAGCATGGCAAGAAAATCCTCCAAATATTAATGATTAATCTGTTGAATTGGAGCTAGTTCACTTCCCAGTGACTTCATAAATATCTGCTTCAATTACCTTTGTTAAATGAAATAACCAAACAATCATTCATTTTCTGATATACCTGTAAAATTAATCTGAAAAGTTTTCAAAATAAGTCACTTAAAAATGTATAGTGTTTACCTTCTAAAAATGGACCCTACATCTCTCTTGAGTTTTGAAGAATATGTATTAAGGTTATAACAACCAACAAGAATGCACTTTTATGTAAAATCCATGATTTAAATAGTCTTCCTGACTAGTGATTTAAATCAAATGCACCCTGCTAATCTATTGTTTAGTCAATTTGCGGTGGGTACCAGTCAGCACTGAAAGGCTTTAAAAGAGATATCTGTGGAGAATAGGAAAACCTTTTAGCTTCATTGAGCTGAGCTTTTTAGAGGGATAAGGGTGGGAAAATGATAAATACTTAACCTTAAGGAGTCTCTCAAATATTGACAGGTATCTATGCTAGTTGTTGTAAAAGTAGTAGTCTGCTGCCCTGTCAAAATGTGTCCTGAAAAACTACAGATTTATTCACAGAGCAGTTTAACAATTGTTATATATAACAGAGGCTACTACTATTAGTTTTCACTTAAGGAGAAAACCCAACCTAAAAAACCAAGCAGATCTGATAAATTCATAGTTGGTCTATGTTTAAATCACATCCCAGAGGAAGACAGACTAGGCATAAACAGATATAAAACAAGATCTTCTACATCTCATTTTTCAGCAAAAAATACAACATTTACTCCCTCCCAACCCCTGGCCTTGGATTCACTTAGCTCTTGTCCATCTTGATGCAACAGTTTAAAAAAACTGAACTGTATTTTTTAAATTCTATTTAAAAACTAGTTCATAATAACAGTTTAAACACTATTTTCTGGTTAGTCTGGATGAGGCATAATATATGCTAGACTGCAACCTAACTAGTAGAGCCTGGTTTAACTACACCATTTCTTAAAATGGCTACTCCCCATCCAGACTAACCAGGCAAACCCTTTGGGCCTGAACCAGTATTAAGCCATGTTTAAAATCTACTCTCCTAATACTGTTTTATTCCCAATATTGATGAGATTTCAGTTCACATTATCTTGGGAAAAGGGAAAAGAATTTCCCACGCCAGCTCTTGAATCTAGATAGCCTGCATATCCTTGAAAGCATTTTGGGGGCCATTGGCATAACCTTCAGTTTTCACGTTTATAGTAATCTACACATTGTTATAATGGCCATTCCTTATTTTATCAGCAGCTGTAGAAGTCTCTTAAGACTTCAAGTATGCAATAGTCAATAATATTTACAAAACTAAGGAGAGGAGTAGATTTATTGCCAGAAAACAAATCCTGTATATTAATATTTTTCAGGAAAAAAAGAAACCATCACATATGATGAGTGGAACAGGAAGATTCAAGGGCACTTTGAAAAGCTGTTCTTTGTTTCTGAGAACCCAGGAGATCCTAGTGAAAAACATCCAAATCTGGTTCACAAGCGTGGCATATACAAGGACAGCTATGGAGCTTCAAGTCCATGGTGCGACTACCAGCTCAGGCCAAATTTTAGTATAGCAATGGTTGTGGTGAGTGGAAAAACATGTTCAAAGTCACAGCTCCTTTAACTGTTTTGATTGAATTGAACTAAACTTGCATGAGGGGGTTCATTTGCATGGGGTAAATCAGGAATTACTTGGAATGCACTTGTATCTTTAATAGAGTAGTGGATTTTTCTTTAATAAACTTTCAGAATTGGACCATCTAGAACCTCTTCCAAAGGACTAACCTAATTATGTTTGGGCCTGCTAACCAATGTGTCATTAGGATAAATATAAAAAGGCACTTCCTATATTGAAGATGTGTTTGCAGGATGCTAATTGAAAATTGCCATTTTTTGTTTGTTTTGTTTAATCTCTTTATGGAATTTGTGAGAAATCGTGATACATTTTAAATCTATTATAAAGGGCTGTAGCTCTCTCTGTGAGCATATTGAAAAGTAATAGAAATGTTTGATGTGAACTATGCAGTTTGTTGATTTCATAAAACAATACTATTTTTTAAATGCAAAGTTCATTGGTTAAATCTGTTAATTGTGCCAGGCCCCTGAGATATTCAGTCCTGAGAAAGCTTGGAAAGCGCTTGAGATAGCAGAGGAAAAGCTGCTTGGTCCACTGGGCATGAAAACATTGGATCCAGAGTAAGCATATTAGAGATTGTTATGTGTAGTATGCATAGTTTTAATCATGCAACAAGATTAACAGTAAGAAGTTCACTGTGATACGTTTCATTAAGAATACCTCAAGAACTGCACTAGCTAATTACAGTATATAATATATTTATTTTAGTCAAGATTATTTAGCTGTTCTAAATCCAGTTCAGATTCATTTAGTTATTTACAAAAGTACCATTTTATTCACTATCTTGCTCCCTTTAGAAGCTGGTCATTAAATTTTCAAAACCTTCTAATAAAACTGGCTAGTATTAGTTTGAAAAAAGGCAGCACATAGAATTTTGAGCATAAGTTATGACAGAATTGTGACCAAAATACTGTAGTTATGGACTGAACATAGAGTTCTATACTTATAGCTTTGTAGTTCATTGTATTAATACAATAGGCCTTGCATAAACTAACCACTGAAGAATATTAATGCTATAATCTTGTTAGGGCCAAGATATATAATGGTCCTTCCTTACTGTGCCCTTGTGCCGTGCTGAGTACAATCTAACCATGTGAATTCATATTATTTTGAGTTATTTCTCTAATGCATTGCATATATTTTATTTAACTTGTTGCTTTGTCTAAATCCTGTACTTCCTTACAGTGATATGGTTTACTGTGGAGTATATGATAATGCCCTGGACAGTGACAACTACAATGTTGCCAAAGGTTTTAATTACCATCAAGGACCTGTAAGCGCTAAAATTCCTGAGTTTCACATTAAATTAAAATTTGTTGATATCTCAAATTGATAGCTAACATACTATCTCTTACATCTTTTTGTTTAGGAATGGCTCTGGCCTGTTGGATATTTCCTTCGTGCAAAGTTGTACTTTTCCAGGTTAATTGGTCCAGAGATGTACGCAAAGACTGTGTTTTTGATTAAGAATGTTCTTTCTCGCCATTATGTTCATCTTGAGAGGTAGGTCATCATACAGTTAAAATATTAATCCAAACTAGTGGTGTCCAATGTATTGCATTGCATATAAAAGATGTAAGACACACAAATTTTCTTCAAAAAATGAGTTTGAGCATTTAAGACCTACAAAAAAGCACCAGTGATTTGGTGTTTTCTGAGTGTAAAAGTCACCACTATGCAGAGTGCCATTTAAGTCCTACAGCAGCCTTCAACATAGGCTAAACATTACTGCCTTTTTTTAACCTCTGAAATATTTAATATCTGCCCTATCACAAAGTGAGTGAACAATTTTAAAATCAGTCATGGAGAAGAATAAATAGAAAATATTTATTAAGAGAAAACAGAATTTGAGGTCTGAATTGCTAGACCACTTACAAAAAATGTGATGCAGAATTTAAAATATGGATGTTTACTCTCAAAAATGCTAAATATCAATATTTTTCAAGAGTTTGATGATGCAATCAGTTTGAGGGCTGATCGCAACAGGTTAAATAATGTAAGGAAATAACCGTTAAATTGTATAAAATGGGAATACATAACTTCTGAAGTTGACTGGGTAGGTCACATGAATGTGCCAATTAATCATTACTATAGAACTGCATTTCAGAAACTAATCACTTCACTGCACAATGGAAATATTACTTCATTAAGAAAACAGAGGCATTTACTCCCCTACAGTGCATATGTCCTTCCCTAATCTCCCCCACCCCTTGCCTTTTGTTCTCTTGTCCACTGTTGAGTCTTCCCTGTTCTTCCTGCAATATTTTTTCCTCTATACACTTGTTCTTCTCCACTATAATTCTGAATAATTCCCATTTTCACCCTTCCCAAAGCATTTCTAGATAAACAGAGATCCTTCAATATGCAACCCACCCAGTTCAATGGGTGGGAGACTTGATTGGACCTGCAACATTCTGGACAGCTTTAGAATAAAAGGAGAGAGTGTTCTGCCTCCCAATGTGTGCTCTGCCACCCATTGGCCAGCCAAAGGGAGATGGGAGCCAGCTGACTCCTTGTTCCCCAGCATTATCAATTTAAACTCTTGCATGGGGTTTCTCAAGCCTCTAACTCAATTTTATTTGAACCCACTCTTCCTTCCTTTAGTTATATTGAAGCATATAGTAGTTATATAGTAGTATAAGAACTGTGTTTGAGGATGCTGTGGGTCTGACCAATTGCCTGTGTTAGGGAGAAGGAAGCAATTTTTCACATTGGGACCAAATTAGCTGAGGCCTAGCAGGTTTTTTTCATAGCATCATGATGGCAGTTAGGTTACATAGGAATAGCACTTGAGAAATCTATTATTAGGAATTTGTAGGAATGGTTAATTCATCATAGCTTTCGGCTGGTATCCATTGCAGATGAAAGGCCAAAAGGAACAGCACCATCCTCAGCCTCAAAATACAATGACCAAACAAAAAGTAAAATTGGTAGTGCCGAAACTTGTGGCCTTGGGATGTCTGTGATTGGCAATCTGTAGTTTTATTTTCCTGTGTTATCTTTAATGTCTAATAGCAGCTCTCAACATTTCTCTTGTGTTCCCAGATACTTTTTCATTCAGTTAATGAAAAACTGAAGGTAGAAATGAAAAATATAAGTTTATTTAAAACAACTAGACTTACCATTTAATTTGGAAATCTTAAAATGGCTTGAAATACAATTTCATAAATAGCATGGATTAAAAAAAAACCAGTCAGGCTGGTAAGAACCTTGTGCACGTTCACAAAACCATGCTGATTGCATTATTTCAGTATTATTACTTTCAAAAGGTAATAAAGTTGCACTGCAAAGATACCTGTACTTCTCAGGTTATTGAAGGCTCCCCTGCGTGGAGTCTCAGGAAGCTCCTGCAACATACACATGTTTCAGTATTATGATGTGTCTTGTCATATGTTAATGCTCTCTTATTTTTATTTCACCACTTTAATGCTTTTGTAATATTTTCATTGTGTTCGGTATTTCTTCTTTTGTACACTTGGCTTAATTGACTCATACTTTAAAAACGTGTTAGAAGTATAATCATAAAAGAGAAATGTTCTTTTAATTTGTTATGAAATATAGCATTAATCATATTTTATGCTGGGATTTTTAATTTTTATTTATTTATTTATTGGGCCAGGTCATCCTGGAAGGGGCTTCCAGAGCTGACCAATGAAAATGGGCAATATTGTCCATTCAGCTGTGAATCACAAGCCTGGTCAATTGCTGTTATCCTTGAGGTTCTTTATGACTTGTAAAAGTTGGCTTTGATTGCTCGGTAAAATTTGCTACGCGCTTGTATTCAAAAAGTACAAATGAAAAGTTTGCTCATGCTATAATGAAAATGTTTTGCACAGTTATTTAAATAACTATGGTCTGATTTTTTTCAAAGGTGCTTAGTATCTGTATCTCCCATTTACGGAAGAGGTATTTAAGGGTGCTGCTCAGCACTTCCGAAAATGAAGTCATTAGTATGAAAATATATACACACATACACTTGATACAGAAAAACTTATAAAGCAGCAACTTGGAGAATGTACACAAATGCATTTAAAATAGCTTTTGATTTGTACACCTACTAAATTAAACTGTATCCCCGTATAGCAAGATGTTAGAAGAATAGTCTGGTTCCAAATTAGAATATGAATGCCAAGTGGTTCCAAAAATCTGAGTTTAAACTCATGGGGTTCTCTTTTCCATATTTTCTGTTAGTCAATAGATGCTATGCACTCTCATCATGGGGGAGAATAGATTGTACTGTAGGTAGTATGATGTGTTTTCTGCTGCAGTCGTGCATTTCATAGATTGCACTTTCATTAGTGTTTTGTCCCTCTGTGCTGAACTGTGTGACTTTTCCTAACAATTTCTTCTCTTCCATGTTCAATTGAACACTCCATTAAAAAAATAAAGTTTTCACTCTTTACAGATAATGGTAGTAAATTAATATCTTCACAAACTTTAAATGAAATTTGAGGACAGTAATTCTGAGCAATGACGTGGATGTATCCTGTGTGAGATACTTAATAGGTTATTTTTTGTGTTGTGGACCATATGCCAAATTTTATTTCTTTAATTTAATTTGGCTTAAAATAATGTACATCTGTCAACAAATGTGTTCTACCAGTAGGAAACCAGAAGAAACACTTTATCATGCAATGTCCTGTACGTATATCAGGATCCAGGAGCCTACAGAGTTGGGTGCTGGCTTAATGATGAATTTGAAAGAATTGTAAATTTATTTCAGCCCTTGCTTCAAGTAATCTTCTTCACTGGGGGTGAAATTCTGGCTCTACTGAAGTCAACTGAAAAACTCCTTTTGACTTCAGCGGGGTCAGGGTTTCACTCCAGTTGCAGAAAGGGGGCAGTCTGATTCCAAAATCTCTTGATGTGTTGCTAATAAGAGAAAGGGTACTGACAGCTGCCTGTTGCTTTTCTTCCCTTGAATGTTACTTCCATAAGAGTATTTGTTCTGTAATATATAGACACACAAATAAATACCTTTACCTGATCTCAACCCAACCTTTTCAAAAATTGGGGTGGGTGGGTGGGGTGGGAAATGTATCCATTTGAATCTTCTGCTGGTCCTTAAAGTAATGAATAGACAACAGTTAGATTGACCAGTAATGTCCTCAACATCACAGAAGGAAGTACAGCACTGCATTGTAGAAGAAATGGACTGACAATACAGATTGAAAATACAAACCTGCCCTACTTATTATTATTCTGCCATTCATATATATTTTACAGTCATGTTTTAAAATTTGCCCAACGCATTTAAAATTTGGTGTTGGCACATACCTACCTACTTCATGAGAATATACAGTTATAGGTATATTTAAGAACAAACTGCTGAGAGAAGCATTTAGGCAAGTGGACTAAAGATAAGAGTCCAGTGCAGTTTTATTTGTGATGGATTTAAGAGATTTATTTTATAGAAGCCAGAGTTTAGTTTTGTTCAGGTTATCATTTAAATTTATGGTACTTCATTGGTTACAGTTGCACTACTCAGATCACTTGGTCATATTCACTTTTTTTTAATCTAACCACTGTTTTTTATGTGTGTGACATGGTAGTTTGGATACATGAGGTAATATCATGCTTTCCCCATACAGAGTTTTTAGTTGAATAGAACTCATAGTTTAGTAATATAGGTCACTCTGTATTATTAGTGTGTTCTTAAATTTTTATATAATTGACTTTCCTTAATATGGGTTCAAATAATTGGAAGTGATGCTTAAAGGAAATTTATCTTGTTCAGATTTTCTTTTGTGCTTCGGTTGTGAGCTGTTTGAAATGGATTCCTTAGGAAACTTTGTCATCTAGCCTGACAGATTTGCATAAGAGATGGGACAAAAACATAAGTTGAAAGGAAAATGATTCATTGTTCTGTTTAAAGAATAGCTAATTCTTTATAACTTTAGTAATCAGGATTTCAAAATTAGGATCCAGATTATTTTGGTTCTTGAGTACAGTTTTTTGACTGACTGTATTTGTTGAAAAGTCAGCAACAACCCAGTAAAGGAAAATTTATATGCCTTCATAAATCAGCATGCCATTTTATGTGTTTCTGTGTGCATTTGAGAAAATTCAGACAGTTTTATTTTTGAAACATTTAATAATGATACATAAGGAACATAAGAAGTTACTGCTTTTCCATAAAATTATGGGTTTCTTTCTAGCTTAGCTATTCATTACTGTGGTTAAAATTGGAAAGTGTACAGTGGGTTAACTTGGGTGAGGGGGAGGTGGGATTTATTCATTAAAGCTATCTTGAAATTGGAAAAGTTTGAAGAGCTATGATTGTTATAAATAGATTGGGATTATATTGACTGCAATAACAATCTCTAAATGTAAGAAATATTCGGGAGAAATTTTGCTTCAAAACTTTCCATTTTATCAAGGCTAACTTTAAAAAGTTTTGTGAATTGCACTGTTGACGTGAACATAATACACATTTCTCATTGCTAGTTTATTTTTAACTTAATTAAAATATTTTAAAAGAGAAATTACAGAGATGTACACAGATATATACATTATGCTAATTATGAATTTTGCGAATAGATGCATGTTTAAAATGCTACTTCTGCACTGATTAACTGAATGTAATTCTAGTGACATACCTACTTTTAAGAATAAAGTAGGTAAAATTCTATATTATGGGCTGGTTTTGCCCATGGAAACAAGAAAATTTAGATTTTAAATTACTACTCACCCCTTCTAGCTTTGATCTCAAACACTTTCAATGCTTTTGGTCAGACTGGACAATTTAAGAATAAAGTGAGGAAGTCATAGGCAACATTTCTTGAATTTTCCTCTGAACACATTTAAAATAGCTAGTTTATGACTTACATTTAATTTTGGAGGGTGGAGGGAAGAGAGAAGAACTGTTGATCTAATATTTTATTTTGTATGTTGGGCTTCAGCACCAAGTAAACCTGTATACAACCAAGTTACAAACACCTTTAAAAATAGTTGGCTGTAATTTAGAAATGTTGACTGATTCTGAACCATAGTGATACTAACACCATGGTATAATATACTGTAAAACTTATATGGTCAGTAAAATTATTATTTTTGTAGGTAAACTGAGTGGGAACTCTGTACCTCTGCCATGTACCAATCTGTTTCTTGGTCTGTATGCTATAGAGCAGAAACTACTAGCATTGCTTCACCAGATCTTTTTTTGTCAATTCAAGTAATGTGCATTATTTCTAATCTGTTTTCATTCATTTAATAGGTTTTTACTGATCAAAAATGGATAATTTTGAGAATCTTTAAAACAAGGACTCATTCTAGTACTGCATGTTGTAATATAAAATGAAAAGACTGAGTCTAGCATAGCAACTACTGAATTTAGAAAAATGTAATTCATTTGTCTGTGAACAGCATAAAATAAAAGTATAACAAAATTGTGTTTTTCTTTCTTTGTCACTGTAGTTCCCCAACAGTAAGTTTTAAATCTTAAACTGTTAATGGCAAATCTTTTTTACAGTTGTTGCTGCTGTTTGCAAATCCTGAAATCCTCTTACTTAACGGAAATGAACTGCTTATTGCCATTGTTTAAGCTGAAGATATAAAGCATCATTCTGTAGTTCACTTTTTTCACGCATAGCTAGATATTTATATGCAGCTAATGATGACCTGTGATGCCTATGTGCTTAAGTGCTTTAAGTCTGAATCCAAATATCTAAGCTGAAACAACACTATTACAAATTACCAAAAAACAATGAGGATAGCAGTCTGTAACATACCCTGTTGTAAAACTCTTTAATGGACAAATCTTCACCATGTACCTTGCTGTGTGAAGTCTCAAATGGTCAATGAAGTGTTCAACTTCAAGTTCTTTTGCCAAGGAAGAAAATACCCAGTCACATAAGCTTTTGATCTAAAGAAAAGAAGATTTCCACTAAAATGAAGTGTAGGAATTGTGTAGTTGGTCGAAACTAATTTCACTTTCGATTTTTAATTCAGATGACCTTCTGAGGTCTTACCCTGAAACTAAGCAAGATTACTATAAGGTAATTAAGCTAAATTGGGAGACAGTTTTCTTTATAATTTATATCATAACTTCTGCTAGAATGTGAGAATCCAGGAAGTATTGTACAAATAGACTTGTGCCAATAGTCAAATCATATTACTGTGTATGAATCGGTGTCCAGTTACAGAGAGTTTTTCAAAAGAGCACAATTATTAACTCGTCTTTTTAATATGTAGAAACTTTGGATTCAAATCCTAAATCACAAATAAATAGAAATAAGACTACATGAAACGTGCCATTGGTTTGTTAGCTTGCATTTCAGCCTTATTTCTGAGCCCATCACAAAGATGGTTTTCCAAAACTTTGTGAGGTAAAAGTCACGATCTCCATTTAGTAAGCTCTAAAAGAGAAGTGGAGAAGCAAAGGCCAGTGGGGAATGGAGCCAGAATCCCTTTTTAAGGTTGATGAGAACCTCACAGTTTTGGTTCCTGATTGAAACTAAATATCAAGAGGACTTTTTTTTTTTTTGAGTTATCTATGCAGACTTAATTGAATCGCCTTTAGGCATTGTCCAGTAAATGTACTTCCTTTCTTGAATATTTCCCAAACCGTGAACTGTATCCTGATAGAGGCTGTGCAGTGGTTTATTTAACTATACTTCTCAGTTCTTCTAAAACATAGCACAAATGATCATTTGCTTCCGAGAGTATTTACCTGTCACTTTTTTGGGGGGGTAGAGGGGGGTATAAGGAGACCATGAACATATTACAGCCTGCAAAGGGGTTCTGTGGGGAAACTCTTTTCTTGCTCTTTTTGCAGGATCTGTGGCTAGGCTGAGTAGAATTACTTTTGCAGCACTGAGTGTTTTCAAGATTCCAGTCATCTATTCATAAGTGGTCCCATTCTTACATTATTCCTTGCATGTGACCTCTGTTTAAACTGCAAAGTGATATTTATGAAACACCATTTTCCAACAGATATACTGTAGGTCTGTAGTGAATGCAGTAATAAAAAATTATTATATGAAACTGTCAGTACATAGGAATACGTTAAGGCTGCCATAACCTTATTCTTATCCCCATTACTCTTGCCTTTGCAGCATGCTTATATTTTGACTTTACAATGTATCTGTTAACATTGTTTCACTGCAAAGGTACACAATAAAATATCAATTTTAGTTGATCGGTTTCTATTAAGACAAAGATTTTCACAAGAGAGGGATCTTAGATTTCTCTCAGGGAGAGAAAGCACAGCTAATTACACCTATTGCAGTAGTCGGTGTGGAGATACACAAAACCTATTTCATCATGGAAAACAAAGTACTAATTCTCGTTTGAGTTTATGGTATAAGTGTGTAATTGCATGAGCATTTAAAGCAGGGATGGGCAAACTTTTTGGCCTGAATCTCACATCTGGGTGGGGAAATTGCATGCTGGGCCATGAATGTGGGGAAGGGGGGGGGGGGGGTGTGTGGGGGGTGCGGTGTGCAGGAAGGGGCTCAGGGCAAGGGGTTGGGGCAGAGGAGGGGGTGCAGAGTGCAGGAGGGGGCTCAGGGCAGGAATGCAAGGAGGGATGCTGAGTGCACTCAGGGCAGGGGGTTGGGGTGCAGGAGGGGTGCGGCAGGGGGCTCAGGGCAGGGGTGTGGGGTGCAGGAGGGGTTTGGGCTCTGGCCTGGCGCCACTTACCTTGAGTGGGTCCAGGGTGGCAGTGGGGCTAAGGCAGGCTCCCTGCCTGCCCTGGTCCTGTGCTGCTCCTGGAAGTGGCCAGCACCATGTCCCTGCAGCCCTTGGGGGAGGGGCAGAGGGTTGTGCATGCTGCCCTTGCCTGCAGGTACCTCCCCCGAAGCTCCCATTGGCCGCGGTTCCCCGTTTCCGGCCAATGGGAGCTGTGGGGGTCAGTGCCTGCAGGCGAGGGCTGAGTGGAGCCCTCTGCCCCCCCCTTCCCTCAGGGGCCGCAGGGACTTTGTGCTGGCCGCTTCTGGGGCGGTGCGGGGCCCGCAGCACCACAGGGGTGGCAATCCCGTAGGCCAGATCCAAAGCCCTGACGGGCCGGATGCAGCCCGCGGGCCATAGTTTGCCCACCCCTGATTTAAAGTGAACAACAGAGTGGCATATTTCACATTGCTTGCTAACAGAATATTTAAACCAAAAAGATCTCTGGTGGTAAATTTCATGATTTCACCGATATAAATCTGAAATGTCATTGTGTTGTAATTTTAGGGGTCCTGACCCAAAAAGGAATTGTGGGGGGGGGGGGTCGCAAGGTTATTGTGGGGGGAGGTGCGGTACTGATACTCTTCTGCTGCTGGTGGCAGAGCTGCCTTCAGAGCTGAGCAGCTGGAGAGGGGGAGCTGCTGGCCAGGAGCCCAGCTCTGAAGGCAGAGCCATTGCCAGCAGCAGTGCAGAAGTAAGGGTAGCATGGTATGGTATGCTGCCCAGCTCTGAAGTCCGCGCAGAAGTAAGGGCGGCAAGACTGTGGACACGCCCCCTCACCTCCCCATAATAACCTTGTGGACCTCCTGCAACTCTCTTTTGGGTCAGGACTTCCAATTTGAGAAACACTGGTCTCCCTCAGTGAAATCTGTATACTCTAGGATAAAAGTACCCAAAAGACCAGATTTCACGGTCCATGATGTGTTTTTCATGGCTGTGAATTTGGTAGGGCCCTACTCATGCCCCATTCTTGTATATTATGCCCTCACGGGAGGCAGCAGCCATTCTGTTGTGGTTGTTGCCCCACTCTCCCACTTGAATAATCAACGTATAGTTTGAGCTGTTTCTAAAATGCTGTGGGTCTAACCTAACACTAGTTTTCAGTATAGCTGTACTGCCAAAGACCCTTAATGTAGATTCAGCTTATACCAGCAGCAGGAATTGTTTCACTGGTGTAGTTAAACCATCTCCCCAACTGTCATAAGCTATGCCAGCAAAAAGATTCCTGCTGCTATAAGCTGTGCCAATATAAGGATTTTTGCCAACATACCTCTGAGTTCGGAGTGTGATTTCTCCCTCCCGCCACCTCTCCAGTGACGTTGCTCAGCCACTAAAACTTTGTAGGGTTGACCTGGCCTCAGCATTGGGCTCAATCCTTGGGGTTAGGCTGAAAGGCCAACCCTGAAGATGTGCTTTTTGACATGGAGACTGTTTTAACAGCACAGTAGACCTAAATATATGTAATAGTAGATCTCAAAGTACAGGTACCCCTCCAAAGAAGGTATCCTTACCCACATTTTACAGATAGTGGTAATGCTTGCAGGGTTTTGTTTTGTTTTTTTGTTGGGGGGGGGGGTTGTTGTTAGTATACCCTAAAATTGTGGCCTTCACATTGAAACACAGACATGGGAATGGATTGTATTCCCCTTCTTGTCCTATAAGGGAAATTTCATACTGTGGAGAGTTTTGACTTATGTAGAGCCTGCCTCAGTATCTCATGTTTTTTATTTGGACTCTTCCCCTTCACTGTGAATCATAAAGGTGATTTTTTTTTAAATCCTTTCTAACTGTGTTGAAGCAATTGGTTTAAGCAAACTGAGTTTGCCCTTCTAATGTACAAAGTGTCACTAATGGAGCAGATAGAAACTGGAATTCCTTTTCCTTGGGAAATTCTGAAATTTCAGAAACAATATTTCTAAATTAGAATGAAATCTCAAAGTTTTGTTTTGAAAAAGTCAGTGACGCTGTTAGACCTTTCTGAAACTTTTCTTGAGTCTCCCTGTGTTACCCTAGACTCTCAACAGGTGTGCAGGGAAACCTTGCCTAGTTCTTATCAGGTTTTCACAAAATTGTCACAGTCCAGTGGAATGCTTACCCTTTTAAATATCTACCATCAGAACACTGTCTATCCAGCTCTTGTCATCACGTTATTGTAGGCTATATCTTGACTAACAGCAGTACTCCTAAACTTTTTGCAAGCTTCTAGCCATCTGAAAATACGTGCCTGAAAAATCTGGCATAATCAATAGCTATTAATCAACTATTCTATTTTGAAGTGTTTACCTATTACCTTAATAGTATTTGATAAAAGTACTTGGCTCAGATGGAGCAAAGAGGGGAACTAGGGTCAGACCAAAGATCATTTTTGTATAGTCCAGCTCCTGCTAAGTTTGTAATAAATATCAAAATAATTGCTAGCTTTAGTATTGAGCAATTTTGTGCACATAACTCTTCTAACAAATGTGTTTTGACAAGTTAAAAAAAATGACCTTTCTCATCATTGGTTCCTATTGTCTAGCCTCTACTGGAGGGATAGCTGGGTAGTTTGAGCCTCCTTAACCCAGGGTTGTGAGTTCAATCCTTGAGGGGGCCATTTAGGGATCGGGGGCAAAAATTGGGGATTGGTCCTGCGCAGGGGGTTGGACTAGGTGACCTTCTGAGGTCCCTTCCAACCCTGATATTCTATGATCCTCCAGGTTGCACGTTGTCCTTTGGTGCCAGG